AAATGATAGTACAGGATGTATTTTAAAGAGACGATGCCTAGCATTACAATAATTGTATGTAATAGTAAATCGAGGTATCCCAAAATCGAACATCCACAGGAAAGACTTCAACGCAGTATCATGTACGGTATTTTACTAAAACTTGACAAAAGCGCAAAGAAACAATTTCGTATCGCATCGTATTTGTATCTTAAACTACGTTACGTGTAGCAGAAGGCAATCCACATCTTCGTACCAAATATATCACGCCTTAGATCGTTTTTTCATTGGCCGAAACATTTGTTAATTGTGGCTACGATTAACAAATGATGAATGAAGGTTTGCGACGTGACATTCTTTAGTTTATAATTGTGAAAATAACTTTAAAGGAATAATTATTAGAAACAAGTTTTTTTTATGGTAATTCGTTATACCGATAACGAACAATTTAATAGGTACAGATCCAAGATCAAGATCCGTATATCGTGGTATTATGATGTCGTTTAGAAGCGAAACTGTGGTACGAGGGTGGATTGAAAAGTACTCGGCCTAACCAAGAAAATAAACAAATACTAAATCAGTTATATTTTTATTTTTCTACATAATCACCATCAAGTTCAATACACTTTTGCCACCTCCCCTTCCAAGCATTTAGACTTTTTAATAAATTTATAAAATCACAACTAATTATCGCACACGTTTCGAACTTCACACAATGAACTAGTCTGAACTGAACTAAATAATGTGGGTAGATTTGATTTTTAGAATTGAATGGATCTGTGTTAGGCCGAGTACTTTTCAATCCACCCTCGTACCTACTATCGACAGCGGTGTGTATTTTAACCGAGTTTCAAAAACAAGAATGGAAGAATGTTCATCGATTTCCCGGAAACGATATAACTAATTTCAATGATTTTTCTTCTATTAAAGAGGTATAGCTTAACTTATTTAAATAAAGGTATGCATCTCGTATGCGTTTAAAAAAAAAATAGGATAGAATCATCAAATCAATGCAATCGTCTAATTAAATACAATTTATATAAATAGGTATAAAATGTATTCTTATAAAATTGAAGTGAAAAACGTAAGTTAGTTTTCCACCGACAGTCAACAGTAAGTGGCCACTGGCTTCATATTAATAATTTACAATACTTTATTTCTATAATATAGGTTCATTTATTTAATTATTTCTACTTTTCCGCAAACACAACACAACCCTGCTAAATTTCGAAATCATAATTTTAATTCTCACATAATATATCCCAGTGTTTGAACATTTACGTTGGCCTCGAGGTTAAAAATACTACGTGCAGGTCCTATTACATTTAGATAATACGATGAGGGCGGCCATATGCCTTAGATTCTACGGGATAATCTCGCAATATTATGGCAGTTTCAATTATTATAATAAATAATAAAATAGTTCCGCGAAATCCAACACGAGCTGCATTCCTTACAAAACACACAAGCTTATGTGTTTTTAAGCATTTTCGCGGAAGTATGATTGAAAAGGCCGAAATTTTAAAGATGTAATATTTATTTGATAAATTGTTTATAAATTATGTATATGGATAAAAAATATTTTGGGTTTTTAATTTCATTTCAATGTTAAGCGGGTTCCTTGTTGAATTTTTAGAGCGCCTAAGACACTAAGGCACGCCTAAGTTACGTCGAGGTATAAATTGTTTATCTTATCATATTATAAAGTCAGTAATTACGTACGGCACTTCATTCGAATCATCTAGAAAATTCTTTAACATAATATTGATTCTATTATTTACTAACTTCTAGTAACAACTTTTAGCAATTGCAAGGTTATATATCTCAAAATTAATAAAGAAAAATTCGTTAAAAATCAACTTTTCCATTTTTTTCTACGACTACGGCTACAATACTGTTCCAATATAAAGTAAAAAAATAAGCCCGTTTACAGTTTCTATTTATATTAGATAAAGCAACAAAATAGACGCCTACCGCCATCTAGTGACATAAAATGAAACCAATTGAAATCGGGCAACGCAACTGAAACATTTGTTAACGCCCTCTATTGGAAAATATTGAAACAAGTTTAGAGTTCAAGCAAAATATTATTTAATAATAATAATAACTAGCTGATGACTTCGTCCGCGTTGTTTGATATATTAAGAAAACACACATCACTGAACACGTAGTGCTTATATAGACCGTTGTTCTTAAAACTTTAATAACTTTATATTAAAATACAAAAAAATTGTACGTGGTAGAGCCATCGAAAACATCGATTCCTACCAAGGATATCATCCTATTCTATCCGTGTGGCTATTGAAATTAAAAACATCCTAATTTTAATAGAGAAGAAGGCAGGGCAGTCTTACCACCTGCTTGGGATCCTGTAATTAATAAAAATGAAACTATACTCAAGCGTTCCATTTCAAGACTTCAAGACACAGTAAGCTCATTCTGCGTAAATCCGACTAGAAGAAAAAAATGAAAAGCTGAAGTTACTCCGAGTTAACTTTGACATCGGGACCTCAATCACCTCGAAATGTCAGAAATTAAAAATAAGTAAATTTAATTAATTTAAACGCGATAAAATCCGTAAAAGAATATTAAATATTGTGCTAATTTAGAAAAAAAATACTAGTAAATCTATACTACAACTAATAAATCGAAAGAGGTTTTTTATTGTTTTCCTTTTGAGTTTATTTTTTATTTTTCTTGTTTGTTTAAACACGCTAATCTCGAAATTACCAGTCCGATTTGAAAAATCCTTTTTGCAAATGACAGCCAGATTCATGGGGAGCATGAACGCAACACCTCGTAAATTGCCTTAAATATATTGTTAAGCAAGTCGGAAGAAAAAGCGCTCCCTAACTGCTTTATCCCCGGCGTAATGCCCGACGTAATGGTTAGTGAAACGTAAATAGCCAGTACGGTTTCCGTTGAGGTCGCTCAGCTGGTGATCTTCTAGGTTACCTAACTCATAGACGGGCGGAGGCAGTGGAGTGTTGGCCGTTAGTTTGGACATAGCGAAGGATTTCGATCGGGTTTGGTACAAAGCGCTTCTTTCAAAGCTCCCTTCCAAAGGGCTGCCCGAGAAATAGTGCAATTGGATTACCAGTTTTCTTACAGATCGGAGCATCAAGGTCGTAGTAGACGGTGCATGCTCCGATTACAAGTCCATTAACGCTGGTGTTACACAAGGCTGCGTGCTATCGCCAACGCTGTTTCTTCTGCATATCAATTATATGTTGCAAACCGGTAACATTCATTGCTATGCAGACGACAGCACTGGTGATGCTTTATACACCGGCCGTGCCAATATTTCTCGGGAAAAATTCGCCGAGTACCGGAACAAACTTGTGTCTAAAGTCGAGACTTTGTTGAACAAAGTCTCAGACTGGGGGAGACTAAATCTGGTCCAGTTCAATCCCCACAAGACAAAAGTATGCGCGTTTACCGCTAAAAAGAACCCCTTTGTCGTATCTCATCAGTTTCAAGGCTTGTTGCCTCAGCCAGTATCGTAATCCTCGGTGTCGACATATCGAGTGACGTGCAGTTTCGTGGTCACTTGGAATAGAAGGCCGAATTGGCCTCTAAAAAGCTTGGCGTGCTCAGCAGAGCGGGACAGTATTTCATGCCGGTACACCGCTTGCAACTTTACAAGGCGCATGTACGGCCGCACATCGGTTCCCACCTCTGGGCAGGGGCTCCCCAGTACCAGCTCCTTCCACTTGACCGCATCCAGCGCAGAACGGTTCGAATCGTCGACGACCGGGTTCTTTCCGATCGGCTTGACTCACTGGCACTACGTTGCATCTCTTTGCGTATTTTATCGCATCTATCACGGGGAGTGCTCTGAAGAATTGTTCGGACTAATTCCAGCCGCTCAATTTTACCATCGCACATCGCGACATAACTCGCGATACCATCCATACCATCTGCATGATTAGCGGTCCACCACTGTGCGATTTAAATGTTTTCTTCCTCGCACAACTTCCTTGTGGAATCGATTACCACTAGCGATTTTTCCGGACCGATACGACTTAGGGACCATCAAAAAAAGAGGCTACTCCTTTTTAAAAGGCTGGCAATGCATCTGAAATTCTTCTGGTGTTGCAGTTGTTCATGGGCGGCGGTATTCACTTACCATCAGGTGAGCCGTATGCTCGTTTGCGCACTCTCCTATAAAAAAAATACAATATTGTACAAAACCATTGATCCTTACTTCATCTAAAAAAAAGTTCACGATACCATAATATGCCTCTTTCTTATATACAAGCCACAATAAAGCATTTTTTGACAAAAAAAAATTAATAAAAATTGAAAAGTGATTTATGAGCGTTATTATTAGGCATGGCATATTAATCCTAACATATGAATGTTACTTCATCATCAAGACAATTTTATATATATGAGCCTTGCTCTTTATAGTATGTTATTTGGACGCATAGTTTAAGAGATAGTGAAAGATTAAAATAATTCAACACTCGGCACGGTGCGAGAACGACGCATAACCCCAGCTGCTCGATGAGAACCGAGAATACCAGTATATTTTATTACCACATGAACATGTTACTAAAATTATTATCTATACTGAAGTATCATAAATCAATCAATCAATCAATCAGTGATTTCTTAAATTATTCGCGGGTGAAACCACGGAACACAGCTAGTACGTAATACCACCTCCAACCAATGCTCGTGTTAACCTAATGTACGAGTATCTGTTTGCCAATTGACATTGGCAGTATGAACATGAAAAATAAATGTTAATATTTTAGTTTGTATTGGCAACACATATGTAAATTTTTGCACTCCTTCCTCATATAAACTTTAACTATGCCAAATCTCACTCTCCTCCGGGCGCACAGTATGCTTTAAAAGGGGTACTACACTTTCTCCTCCCCTTAATATACAGATTTTGTTTTTGACGCAGCAAATTTATGCTTCATATATTTTTTTATTTTCGAATCGAGCTAGTTTCCTTACAATGTTTTACTTCACTGCCGAGCACGAGGTCTTCTTTCTTGATTGGCTCGTCATAGTTCACAGCCGGACATGGACCTCACGCTTGGCATGCGGATGTTCGAATGCAGAAAGTCACACGTTTTACACCTGAAACGCTGCTGCCCGTCGTCCGTCAGGGTTTTGTATAATAAAGTCTGTTGGCTTAAATACGGTCGCCTTTGTGTCGCGCCGGCTTGGTACGTAAGGAGATGAAAGTGAAAATAACGACCAGAGAAGTGAGAAGACGAGCCCGCCCTTGTGTCAGAAATTGCGGTCAACATTTTAAACACGAAAAATAAATTTTTAACAACAAATGTTGTTTTATGGGTCTGTCAAAAATTAAAAATATTCGTCCGCAATTTGCTTTGAACACCCAATCCAAAAGTTGATGAGATATCTGCGTAAATAGTGCCTCAAATGAAAGGAAAATAACTAAGCATGTTTTAAAAAGGTTTGAACAACAAATGCTTTTTTTTATGAAGGCACAACATTTCCTTAATTTTTTTTTTGGGTTTCTTAAACTTCATCCGAAAAATATGCGTAGAATGTTTTTCGGATGAAGATGCTTATAAATTATTATTTTTTGAGTAATCACACATTATATAAATAAAAAATAATAACATAACAACTTTTACTGGAAATTATTAGCAATCAATTGAAAAAAATGGGTGTTATTCTTACAAAACTTAGAAACTCAATTAAAAAAAAAATGGGGCAGACAGAAGATATCATTCCCTTCAGGCTTTGTACCTATCTTCAAATAGCCTGTATAAGTGACGCATCAGTAGGCACATTATAAAGATATTGCATAGGTATATCATATTCTTGTGACATTCATTTTTACTAAATATTGCAATTAACTGTCTAAAAATTAACATTTAATTAATAATAGGTCTCTAACTATGAAATTGCCGTTCTGTATTACTGGCCATGTCAACTCAAAATAATTTTTGTTTGGCTAAGAATTCTAATTTCAAATTAATTTTATTTTAAAAACCTGGACACTGGAAATCATTTTGTTTAATGATTAGTTTTATGTTTTCATCGCATTTGAATCGTGGTCATTGATACGTTAAAAATTCAAGTAATTATGGAATATGAGTACCGTTATGGCAACAACGCGGCACAAGCGGCACGCAACATCAACGACGTTTACGGAGCGAATACTACACACGAACCGTCACATGTTATTGGTTTTTCCGCTTTTGTTCTGAAAATCGTGGTCGAAATTTCGACCTGAAAAATGAACACCGTGGTGGTCCGAAAACGTAGGTCGACAATGACGAATTAAAAGCGATTGAGAATGCTGATGATACTCAATCTACGCCTGAATTTGCAGCACCTTTCTACGTTAGCTTCAAAACAATATTGGTCCATTTGCGTCAAATTGAAAAGGTAAAAAATCTTGACAAATGGGTGCCCCACGAACTCAATGATTGCCAGAACGAAGTACTCATCGAGACGTGTCTTACAGTGGTTAACAGGCACACAAACACAAAAAATTTTGAACCGCATTGTTACCTGCAACGAAAAATGCATTCTGTTTGAGCGCTCAGCAAGTTGGTTGGATCCTGATTCAGCACCTAAACAATGCCCTAAACGAAAACTTACCCCTAGGAAAGTGATGGTCACTGTTTGGTGGTCTAGCGCCTGTGTGATTCATCACAACTTCTTACGAAACGGGATGAGCATTACTGCAAATGTGTACTGTGAAAGACTGAACACAATGATGGAGAAGCTCGCACGTCTCCAACGAGCCTTGGTCAATCGCTCGTCCCCGCTGCTGCCGCACGACGACGCGCGATCTCATACTGCACAACAGACGGTCTCCAAGTTACAAGAACTGGGGTTGGAAGCTGTACGTCATCCACCGTACTCAGACCTTGCATCTACAAACTTCTACTTTTTCCAGAATTTGAATAACTTATTGGCGGGAAAAAAATCAATAACAGAGAGGCAGTACAGAATAGCTTTGAAAAATTTCTTGCCACCCGTCCTGCTGATTTCTTCAAGAAGGGCATCAATAAACGGCCACTGCTTTGGCAAAGATGTATCGATTGCATGGGTGATAACTTTGATTAATAGAAATAAAAAATATAGAAAAAAATTACGTTAACTTATTTTATAGAAAACGGCAATTTCATAGGTTATTAACGGTAATTTCATAGGATCTAATATATAATTTAGTTACATCATTGTATATTTAAATGACAATACAATTTAATATAAATAATATAGTCAAATAATTTGATTGTAAAAGTGTAGTATTTAATTGTAACCATAACATTTGTTTTCTGCCTCGCACGACTTCTTTGTGGAATCGATTACCATCAGCGATTTTTCCGGACCGATACGACTTAGGGACCTTCAAGAGAAGAGCCTACTCCTTTTTAAAAGGCCGGCAACGCATCTGCAATTCCCCTGGTTTCCCTGGTGTTGCAGTTGTTCATGGGCGGCGGTAGTCACTTATCAGGTGAGCCGCATGCTCGTTTGCCCCCTATCCTATAAAAAAAAATACCTAAGGGTTGAATGCCACGAAGATAGTTTTTTTCAATTACCTATTCTGTTTTATTACTCATATTCACAAAAACAAATAAAAATAAATTTGAAATATTTGACATATTAAGTAGTAAACGTGACAGTTAAGTAGTAAGGATTAACAGTTCTTTCTGTAATATTAGTTAGGATTAGTAATTAATAAACCGAAGTACGTATATAAATAAAAATAAAAATTAAAGAGCAAACCACTGACGAATTGTTTTGTTTATTTATAGCTTAAGAGCCACTGAGCAGACTTACGGTATTTCAATAAGCTTCACTATTTTTTTTCAGTTAATCCCCTATACCTGAGGTACATGAAACGGGGACTCTTTAGTTTGTTAAAGGTGTAAAAACATGACCAAAAAAAACGTGATAGCAATAAGTTAACAAATACAACAAAATAAAGTCTGAAGGCTACAACTCCGGTAGCCAAGAATAATATGATTTGAATATTCTTAAAATTATTGAGTTTCTAATAAAATGCGTAATAAACATTTTCATGAATAAATTAATATAATTACGACATCATAACAATAAAACATAAATAAATAAATATTAACCATTTTGTGCTTATTCGACATTTATTTATTTTATAACCCGTAATTATTATAAATTGCAACCATTATGAAACGATCTGAAACGATCGTATTTAGTTTCAATTAATATAATATTTTTTTAAATTGATCTAACAACTGTATTAGAGCAAGTGCTATTATACCTAGTCAGGTCATAAGTATTGTCACACAGTAAAAACTTTTCTTTTAGAATGCTGGCCACAAAAAAGTTTATTGAATTCGAATTGCGAATTGTTCATGAAAATAAAACTGTATACTTTTTACAATTTTACTCATTTTTAAATATGGAGTGGACGCTTAAAGAAGACCGTGTTGCAGTTATTGCGTTGCATCGTTGCGGTTACGCGCCAATTCAAATTTTTGACATACTGAAAAATTTGAATATAACCAAAAGATTCGTTTATCGTACCATCAAACAATACAATGAAGACTCTAGTGTAGATGACAGGTAAAGAAGTGGTCGCCCTCGGTCTGTTAGGACTCCAACAGTGATAAAAGCTGTGAAGGCGCGAATTCAAAGAAATCCCAAACGTAAGCAGAAACTGTTGGCCCTTCAGATAGGGTTAAGCAGAACCACGGTGAAAAGGGTGTTAAATGAAGACTAAGGGCGAAGAAAAACAGGACATCGTTTGAATGCTCGTCTAATGGACCTGAGACTGAAGAGATGCCGCGCTTTGTTGAAGCGGTACGCAGGAAAAAAATATAGGGAAATTCTTTTTTCGGATGAAAAATTTTTACCGTAGAAGAGAGCTACAATAAACAAAATGATAAGGTGTACGCACACAGTAGTGAAGAAGCGAGCAACCGTATTTCGCGTGTCCAACGAGGTCATTTTCCATCCTCGCTCATGGTATGGTCGGGAGTTTCTTATTGGGGCTTAACAGAGGTACATTTTTATGAGAAAGGTGTAAAAACGAATGCAGTTGTATATCATAATACAGTCCTGACGAACTTTGTGGAACCTGTTTCTCATACCATGTTCAATAACAGGCACTGGGTATTCCAACAAGATTCGGCGCCAGCTCATAGAGCGAAGAGCACACAAGACTGGCTGACGGCGCGTGAAATCGACTTCATCCGGCACGAAGACTGGCCCTCCTCCAGTCCAGATTTGAATCCGTTAGATTACAAGATATGGCAACACTTGGAGGAAAAGTCGTGCTTAAAGCCTCATCCCAATTTGGAGTCACTCAAGACATCCTTGATTAAGGCAGCCGCCGATATTGACATGGACCTCGTTCGTGCTGCGATAGACGACTGGCCGCGCAGATTGAAGTCCTGTTTTCAAAATCACGGAGGTCATTTTGAATAAACTTTAGTGTCATAAGAATCTATGTTTTGTTAAGTTCATTTTGGTATATAAATGGTTACATAATGAATAAACTTGTTTCAATTATTTTATATTAAACATGTGACAGAATTTATGACCTGACTAGGTAGTACGCGCTTATGGACGCCGCGGAAGTTTGTTGTCTGCCTGGGTGATACAACCACAATTTATGTCTGCCGTGAAAATTATACATGTCAAATAATGTTATTAACAATATATATATATATAAATTTCAGCTTTATTGAAATAACGTAAATTATTAATAAAAAATTGTACTTTTCAACCTGTACGCCACGACCTTGATACCATCATAGGTGTCTGCCAATGTTATTTTTCGGTAACTTTTATTAAATATTTCAAGATATCAAAGCGGCAGATTTATTGCTATCACGTTTTTTGGGTCATTTTTTTCCACCTTTAACACCTGAGCGTCTCTATATCGACCGCCGGTCAAACTAAAGAGTCCCCGTTTTATGGATTAACTGAAAAAAAAGAAGCTTATTGAAAATACCGTAAGTCTGCCGGTCACTGGCTCTTAAACTATTACATCATACTCTAGAAACTGATAAACTTATAATTTAAACGCATCTTCTCATTTATATGACATCGTATAGCAAAAAACTTCACCTAAGTCCCAACTAACGAAGATTATGAGCCCCTGTTGGTGCGGACGGGTTAAGAACTCGTGTAGCTTGATCCCCCGTGAGTTACTACAGCTTCTTTTATCCCCTGAACTACAACGGTGCTCAGCGTTAAAATATGTTTAAATGCATCAGACATTGCATATCTTTGCATCTTCTATCGCATATTACTACGGCGAGTGATCAGAGGAATTGTTCAGATTCATTCTCTCGTACGCTGCGACAGAACTTGAAGTTCTATTCACATTATCTCAATGGGTCCACTAGCGCGCGATTTACGCAAAATTTTGTGCCAAGCTACACCACACTGCGGAATTTACTGTCACCGGTGGTTTTTAAAGAAAAGGGCTTACTCCTTTCCAAAATTATTGTCGCAGATGTTCATGGGCGACGGCGATCACTTATCAGGTGACCTATATGTTCGTTTACCTCCACTTCCATGATTTTTTTTTACTAAAAGTCTTAAAACTTTAAAACAAGAGTGTACAATTAGTGTTCCCAGTAATGACATATAGATCTGAGACGTGGTCCTTCACTGTTGGCCGTACGAGAAAGGTCAAGGTCGCTCAGCGAGCTTTGGAGAGTGAATGCTAGAAGATTCTCTGCATGACAGAATTCAAAATGAGGATATCCGCAGTAGAATCTGAGTAACCGACATAACCCAACGAATTAGTAAGCTGAAGTGGCTATGGGCCGGCCATAAACCTCTACGAACGGACAGACGATGAGGAAATATGGTTCTCAAGCGGCAGCCTCGTACCGGTAAGCGGAGTGTGAGATGACCCCACCAGTATAGATGGAGTGACGATTTATTGAGACTATTGCAGGAAGTGATACAGGTTTGAAGGATTACAGGACAGAAGTGAGAAGATTGATACAGGTGACGCTAGACTGAGCTTTGTGGCATTCCTTTTATTATAAAATAAGGGTGACAAACGAGCCCACAGTCCACCTGATGGTAAGTGAATGCTGTGACCCATACACATCTACATTTATCCTCGATTAAGCTTATTATTTTGCAATATACAGCCAAATTTGCTGACAAGGTTCAGAAAAAGTAATATATATTACATTATATATTACTATATAATATAATATATTATATAGTAATTATTAATATAGTGAAAAATTAATAAAAAAATTGTCAAACATTCTGTCCTTTTTATCTTTTAAATTCAGATTAATTGGTAATGCATTATTTTAACTGATTTTCATTCATAAATTACTAATGTCTACTATTTTACTACACACACTTTTGAAAGGGTCGCTCGATCGGCAAAAACGTTGTGAATTGAATCGCACACAGACTACGCTTACGTGCACTTCGCACGTAAGCGTAGTTGTTGCCCACAAATCACATAAAATTTGGGATAATTTGAAATAAAAGTAGAATATTTAGTCGTATTTTCAAAAACTGCAATAACGGTATGTCATGTGAACATGGTAAGACATGTCAGAACCCGCATTCCAGCGAGGGTTGTAGATATGTCCAACGGGTTTCTACTCTATCTTTGGGGGCCCACAAATTCTTCAGACCTTTCCCTAAATCCCCACTTACAACACCCAAAAGATGAGACGAAATAATCACATCACATAAGAAAAAGGTACCAGCTACATTTTTTACAAGTTAATACAAATATTGTTAGCTATTGAAAATTGTAAATGCTATTAACTTGAACATTTACCCTTTTTAAGTGAATATCAGTTTCAAAAATTTCAAGAATAAGTTTTTAAAAATCTGTCGTGCATCACTGTCGCGCTTTGCCCGAAATCTACACAACCGTGAAAAACAACTGCAACTGTGACTACAATATTATAAAATCTCTGTATACGTGGTAGAGCCATACTGCAGCTATATTAGTGGTATAGTTGTAGCACGAATGGGTCGGCTCGACCGGGGAAGAACCACGCTCTCACAGAAAACCAGCGTAAAATAGCAGCTTAACGCTGCTGTGTTTCGTATGGTGAGTGTAGAGAACCGGAGACCCTCTTTACTGGCAAAGAGGCATTCCATCTTAGTCCTCACGGGTGACAACGCATCTGCATCTTGAGTCTTTATTGAGGATAGATGTAGATGTCTATGGGTCGCAGTGGCCACTTACCATCAGGTGGACTGTGTGCTCGTTTGTTACCCGAACCTATAAAAAAAAATCAATGACTGTCCGTTAGTCTCGCAAAACCACGACAATGGCTGGACCGATTTTGATGTGGTTTTTTTTTTGTATGTGGTTGAATAGGGTCCCTCGATGATCTAAACAATTTACAATTGGACCCGGTAGGTAGCATTGTTGTCGAGATCCAGAAATCACCCACATAGTATTGTATAAATATAAATATATCCGCATTCCTCTACTTCTGGACTGAATTTTCTTCAAGAACAGCATAATAGATATTGTAGTTGTTAGATCTAATACCGGCAGTATAGCTAGGCAAATTAAGAAATTATTGAAAGTTAGGAAGCTTTTAAAATAATTAATTTATGGAATAAAAAAATAAAACATAGGAACATGGCAGTAGTAACGGTATGTTACTTTTATGTTAAGTTACTTTTAGGTTCTTTAAGACTTTATCGAAAAAAATATTTGCTCTAGTTTCATTATCCAGGGAGAAAACAGAGGTATATATCTTTATATGGACATACATTTGAATACAAAAAAATAGGAATTAGGATAAAAATATTAGACTGAATCGTATATTTCTTTTTAATGGTTCCGAGAATACTAGTCAGTTTCAGATAAGATGCTGATGTATCTTTTGGACTTACGAAGCAGTAAATTGATTCTCATATGCTACCTACCACCACACTTTACGATAAATGGTCACTGATCCTTAGACACGTTGCAGTCTCGTTAATAAGCAGATAAGATAGTAAGGTTGAAGATTTTCTATGCAAACATTTAACTTTTAAGGGTAGAGTATTTTTTGTTGTTAGTTAAATTGGGTTAAATTATGGATGTTTAATAGCAATACTTAAAATGTAAACTAAGTTAAAATTAAAAATCGATTGAATTTTATAGCACTATCTGAAAGTAGCTTAAAATCGAAAATCGATATATTACATCGAGAAACTAGCCAATTCAAGTTAATGTTATTTGTTTATTAATCCAAAATAATAAATAACAACAATTAATAATAATTTGGTCACGGCGGCCAGTCTCTACGGAGACTAATCACCTGTACAAGTGCACTCTCTATTCCCTCCCTCTCACAACAGTCGAACACGATGGAACGGTAGTTCGACGCGACCGGAGAGAGATCTTCGGGCTAATTCCTAGACTTCATGCTGCTTTTGAGAATTTCTTGACAAAAACTCTCAATAACTGATTTATTTTTGTCTGACCTGAGATTCAATCCCGGATATTTACGTATATCCTACTAAATAAAAATTAGATAGAGTTCTATCAATTCTTTTAAAAGAGAAGAATATGAAAATATTCATATATGAATGAAATTAATTAACACGCAACGAAAAATAATTGAAATATTTTATGACCTCAATTGTATACGTAATGCGTAGAAGGTGCAAAATAACAAGAAAATGCACTTACCTTAAAATGCTGGTGAGCGGCTTGCTCCTCCGCTTCGTAGATATGCTTTATATTATCTATACGCATTTGCTTCAGAATGCCCGCCACTTCGATCCTGTAACAAGCAAATATTAAAAATAATTAACCTCATATCATTCCGTCGTAAGAGAGGTAAATAAAACGGGATGTGGATAGCAGCATCTTCTTGATAACAACGAAAAATAATAGAAAACTACAGTGACCATACCGTCTACCAAGCGCAATTTTCATTATCTCCCATGTACGTGGTAGTGTTATGCTGCAGCTGTATTATGGTTGTGGCACGAATGGGTAACCCGTGTAGTGGCGGTGTAAGAATATCCACTACCCCATATCATCTCCTGGGTGTCGTAAGAGGCGACAGATGGAAATAGATCAGGAGATGAACAAAAGCGTTTCCCTAGTAACGACAAAAATAAAAAAACTGCGATTGCCAACCCGCATGGCAAGCGTGGCAACTATAGGAAATATCCCCCTATGAGGCGAGCTATGGGGGAGACCTATGTCCAGCAGTGGACTTTAATAGGCTGTAACGATAACGATAACGAATGGGCAGGCTCCGCCTTGGAAGAATCATGCTCTCACAGAGTACCAGCGTGAAATAGCAACTTAATGTCGTGTTTCGGATTAAGGTAGATAACTGGAGACCCCTTTTACTGGTAAACGAGGCACGGTAGTCCTCAGAGGTGACAACGCAGCTACAGTTTGATTCTTAATCGAGGAAAGATATACATGTCTATGGGCCACAGGACCCCACTAAACATCAGGTGGACTATGTGCTAGTTTATCACCCTTATCCTATAAAAAAAAAATTGGAGGCAATCTATGAGGTAGGTTATATACAGCAGTGGACTTTGGATAAACTGAACACACATTAAATGCATGAACAGCAAAAAATGCTATGAAAAGACTTACTTAAATACAACCAACGAGCGTAGGGTTCGATTTTACTTTCCACAATAGCTAACGCCAATAAAAATTTATAATAAGTGGTAAAATTAAAAAAATGTACAACTGACTTCAACATAAATTATTAAGTATAACTCAAAAAACTTTTTTTTTTATAGGAGAGGGGGCAAACGAGCATGCGGCTCACCTGATGGTAAGTGACTACCGCCGCCCATGAACAACTGCAACACCAGGGAGGGAATTGCAGATGCGTTGCCGGCCTTTTAAAAAGGAGTACGCTCTTTTCTTGAAGGTCCCTAAGTCGTATCGGTCCGGAAAAATCGCTGATGGTAATCGATTCCACAAGGAAGTCGTGCGAGGAAGAAAACATCTTTTAAATCGCACAGTGGTGGAACGCCTATCATCCAGATGGTGTGGATGGTATCGGGAGTTCTGCCGCGATGTGCGTTCGTGAAATTTGGCGGCTGGGATTAATCCGAACAATTCCTCAGAGCACTCCCCATGGTAGATGCGAAGTCAGACCTTGATCAAATTTATATGGGAGCATATAAAAAGCACCAGCTTTTAATTAAAAAAAGAATCATCAAAATCGGTTCACCTAAAAAAGTTATGAGGTAACAATACGTAAAATATATACAGTCGAATTGTTTACCTCCTACTTTTTAAAGTCGGTTATAAATGAATGGGAACGACATAATATCTCAACGTTAAATCGCGTTTGCCCTGACACGATTTTACGATAACTGCGACTTGCCAATGAACTGCCTAACTTCACAATTAGATGGCGCTGTACGTAAGCCACTAGTGTGTATATACTGTACTGTGAATATGTAAGAGTAGACGTCAGAGGCGGCTAAGATGTTAAAATTGTTTATCTGAAATCCGCCTAAAAAATAAAAATTATTACTACCTAGTTTGAAGAGCATCTCCCGCTACGTCAATAGCTTACACTAGGATCCCTATCACGTAGCGGTTGCCATCGCTAAGTTTATTTCTCCTGATGATGCTTAGTTTAGAGGCGAAACACGAGTCGTATTGTAGTCTTTCCTAGTGTAGTGGTGTCGGGATGAGTGGTGACCGGGATAGTGCACGCAATTGATGGAGGACGGGAGCTGCTCTTCAAAGTACATAATACACATCACTTTTATTTTTGACGCGGCCCGTTGCTAAATAATATTTAACATCTTTAATATAATTTATCCATTACAGCCTATAGAAATACACTGCTGAACTTAGACCTCCCCCATAGATTTTATTTTATATGAGAGGGGCCAAACGAGCATACGGCTTAACTGATGGTAAGTGACTACAGCCGCCCATGAATAACTGCAAAAAATAATAAAACTCATTTTATATATAACTTATTTCTAGACGCGATAATTTTTGACAACTATTTTTCTGCCATTGTTCTTTAATATTATTTATTTTTTTCCTGTACCATAAAGACAATTTACGTACATTAATTATCTAATGACAAACATTTAGACCCGGAAAAAATATTTTAAGGCCATACAAATACTAGTTCCGTGCGTGCATAGCGGTCAAATGACTGTAGTTACTTTATTTTATTTTATTTTCATAAGCACACTTACAATATACATATTAAACATTAACACTAGATTATATAACAAGTAACACGCTCACTGATATGTATAAAGTGTACATAACATTTACCAACAAAAATACATGTAAACATAGAGAATGAACAAAAAAGGAAAAAAGAAAACACACTTGTTATTGTACACCCATATATACATATATACATATATATATATATATATATATATATATACATTTACATACATACATACACACGCGCATATACATTTTTCCTTTCTCTCAATGTAAATGCGGCCTCACCGATAAATGATCGGTGAGTTTTTTTTTAAAGACAGAATAAGAGTAATGGAATATGTCGAATATGTCGATGCCAGGTATAGCTCGAGATATTTCGTTATATTTCGCACATATGCGAACCATGGGAACTTGCTTACCAAGATGCGTTCTATGTGAAATGTTTTTCGAGAAGTATTACAACAGCGAGGATATCTAACAGGTACTGATAGAGAAACCTGTTCAAGCTGCTTACTGCACTTGACTTTGGAATTAATTATTTTATGCAAGAAGCACAGATCAAGTATCTCCCGCCTGTTTCGGAGAGACATCATTTTAAATTCAACCAATCTTTGATTATAGGGCTGCCTGTGTGAGATACCAGTTTCATGGAATGCAAGGTGCCTTGTAAAAGCGCATTGTACGTTTTCAATGCGTTGGGAATGTATGTGATAGTAAGCATTCCAAATGACACTGGCAAACTCGAGGCAACTTCTCACAAACACGTTGTACAAAATAATTTGTCCTGCGGGTAAATCCTATCGTGTTTCGTCTAATGAATCCGAGGAACTGCGTGGCTTTTTTAATAATATTGTTTACATGTGATGTAAAAGTTAACTTCCTGTCAATAGTAACTCCTAAGTCATTGATTTCTGGTAACTCTTGTAACTCAATTGAATAACTTGAGACAAGTGGCTTTTTTTTTCTGGTATATTTTACATGAAAACATTTGTTAACATTAAGAGTCATACTATTGACGCCACACCAATTTGTGATTGTATCAAGATCTTCTTGTATTAATTTTATGTCTTCATCCGACTTTGTAATTTTATAGATTTTTAAGTCATCGGCAAAAAATGAGCATTTGCAATGCTTTACCTCTGTGGTAATATCATTTATGAAGGCCAAAAACAACAAAGGCCCGAGGTGAGACCCCTGTGGTACCCCAGAGCGAGCTATGTATCTCTCAGATTCAAACCCATTTACTACTACCATCTGAGGTCTCTGGCTTAGATAGGATTTGAACCATTTATTTAAAGAGGCATCGATGCCGTATTGCGAAAGATTGTTTATTAGAATCTGATGGTCAACCTTATCAAATGCGCTGCTAAAATCGGTATAAATAGCATCGATCTGTTACCCATTATCTACCTCTGCCAACAGATCTGAAGTAAAGTTTGACAAGTTAGTTGTAACCGATAAGCCGCTTCTGAAACCGTGCTGAGCGCTCGTTAGAAGTTGTTCAAATGTTTGGTGAGGATGGGATGCACAAGACTTTCAAACAGTTTTGAAAAACATGATAGAATTGATATTGGAGGATAATTTTTAACATCCATTCGATCACCCTTTTTGAAGATCGGTACGATTCGTGCTCTTTTCCACACTTCAGGAAATACACCTTCATCAAGGGAACGATTGAAGATCAGCGTTAGAGGGAATGCAAGACCTGTACCGCAACGTTTTACAAAAATAGGCGGAAGGCAATCTGGACCTGACCCCTTTCGAATGTCGAATGTTTTAATTTTTTTTAACACATCTGCCTCTAGGAATTTAAATTTGGATAGCTGTTGAGTGTTACCGTTTTGGTGTAAGTTAGTAATTGGATATTGATCAGCCTCTTGGGTATAAATTGAGGAGAAATGATTCGCAAATAGATTAACGATTTCTGTACCAGTACTAGCAACTCTGTTGTCCAGGTTCATTTATGCAGGAAAAGATGACTCACATTTCTTTTTCCGTTTGAAATAATTCCAAAAATACAATGGGTTTTTAGCAATATTTGTCTCAGCATAGTGTTTGTAATTATTGAGACAAATGTCGTAGAGCTTATGACACCGGCTTTGAGTGATTTGAAATTCTAAATAGTCGCGAGGGCTGTTGTACTTACGGAATTTTTTATGGAGGTTGTCTTTTTCTGTCAGTAACTTAATTAAACTGGAATTGAACTAAGCAGGGTATTTTGTTGACTTAGTCTTACGTTTAGGGACTGATTTATCAATTATTTTATGGAGACATTTGTAAAATATATCAACCATGGCATCGACATCTTCACACTCGGAAAATAATTACAACCAGTCAATGTTCTTAATTTGCTTTACAATATTAACATAATCTGCTTTAAAGTAATTGTAATCAATACGACTTTTAGAACTAAGGTAGGATGCGTGTAAAAATTCAATTCTTATAAGCAAGTTTGGGTGGAAAGTATCTAATTTAGTGAGTAGATCAAGAAGTTTTAATACCTTAATATCAGTTAGGTTACTTAACACTAGGTCCAAGTGTCTATCGTCACAGTTACTTATACAATTAAATTGATGCAGATTGTTGATAGACATAAAATCAATTAATGAGTGTCCCAGGGCATTATTGTGATTACACGGAGACATATATGAACAGTTATCATTAGCACACCATTTAATAAAACCCATATTAAAATCACCCAACACTATTAAATCATCAACATGGTTAGTTATATTGTCCACATTCTCCAGAAACTTATTGAGAAAATCATGTTTGACTGGAGGAGGCATATAGACTACACATAACCCAATTCTTTTTTTAATATTTTTATTGTTAGTATCCAACACTAGCCATACGCACTCGGCGTCTTTCATCTCCCAAATAGTAACCCGAGATAAAGGTATCTCACGTGAGATAGGAACTAGAAAGCCTCCTCCATCGCGTTTAGACTGATTGGAACATGTGCGATCTTTTCTATATACGATATAACGCGAATCAAATAGTTCGTTATCTAAGACACTAGAATTTAGCCAAGTCTCGGTAAAAGTAATAATTTTATAATCCGTAGTCAAGATATTCTTAAGCACATCATTGGTTTTAGTTCTCGACCCGCGCACGTTCTGATAATATATATCTACGCCTGTAAAGGTATAAAAGCCATAACATTCACTTTACAATAATTACTGTTTAAACAATAAGCTTAAGACTATCTTCACTCTTTATTAGTAATGCCTGGCTAAATTCGTCCTTGCGTACATAAATTTTGTCATTTCTGATCCACGTAAAGCGATATTGTATTTGTTTGGCTTTTATGCGCGCGGCGGCGTGCAAAGATTTGCTTCCTGGTGTTAGATGTTCCGAGACATATATAGGTGCACGTGATCCACCGATTCCTATGTGATGGGAGTTTAATTTATCAGTAGGGTTTTTTTTTTGTTGAATTGCGCTACAGCAGCTAAAAAAGCATCGCGGTGTTTTGTAGTACGGAGTTTAAAAATAACAGAGCGTGGCTTGTCAGAATTTTTGTTTAACTTTGCTACACGAGTAACATGTTGGATGTCATCCGAGGATAGAGGGTTTTTTACGACTTGTCCTAGCTGCACCATAGTGTTAACCAAGTTTTCTGATTTATGCTCAGGTATACCGTTTATTTCGACATTACATTCTCTCACGTGGGTTTCAACAATATTCAGCCTGGTGGTGAGGTCCTTAACCGATGCATTCAGTTGATCATTTTCTTTTTTAAATGGTTGATAAGAGTTGATTTTTCTGGAATTGCCGCTTTCATTTCTTCAAACTATGTGTTTATGAAAGTCATGCACTCATGAAATCCCGTTATTTGTTGATTTATTGTGTTTAGTTGAGTTGTGATTAGTTCTCCAATCGTAATTGACAGTTCTTGTTTTATTATGCCGCGAAGGGTGCTTTCCGTCAAGTTGCTGCTACTGTTGGACGTACCGATGTCATCCATTGTAGGCGTAGGTGGCTTATTAAGTTTTTTTTCGACTAGTGATATTCGAATCAGTAGGTTCTTCGTTATCAAATGTATTGCCGTATGCCAGATTTGTTATGACTGCCCTGACGGGTGTGTTCGTGTTGCTTGTCTTAGGCCGTATACTACAACATTCCGGACATTTCCAACTTGCTTTTAATTTCTGGTCCATTTTTTCGAATTGTTTTTGGGATATATTTGCACATTCACAATCGTACTTCGATCCGCAAGTCGAGCAACTGAGATATTCCGAGGTTTGAACTCGCGACCACAGCGTTGTCCTTCTCTGTTACTCTAATTGCGCCAAGATTGGAGTTAGTTGATTTGATGAAAATGTCTTATAATTTAGAAGACAAATTTAAAGTTACTTTGGGACTTGTGGGTATATTAATGTTTGCGACAAAAATTGAAAGATCACTGATACACACTATTATTGTTAAATATTATGGAGTACTGTTATACCTTTTTGAAATTTTTAACAATTTAGTAACACTGTAGCACTTTTTCCATTTTACACACTGTTTTATTGCCGAAGTAGATGCGTAAGGCGTAAATGCGTGCTATATATAGTTGTTAACTTAAATTATATGCGGTGAAAACACTGATACGACAAATTTATACTATAATTTACGTTTTTAATATAAATTCAATAACTTTTATTTATTTTATCTATTTAAAAATAAAATTTAAATAGGGAACAAAGATTTGACATGTTTACATGACGAGTGGCGACAACTAATCCTGTGATAGAGTAGAGTAGAGTTACTTGTGATATTGGTCCCGCAAGACCTGAGTAACTACTTGTTTATAATTTAAAAAAACTTATTTACCTCACACGCATGTTCTCTTGCAACCTTCGCAACGGACCAAGGTACTCCTGCGATCGTCCACCCCGGACCTCCGCAAGCTGATATTCCACATGTTTCACCCTCTCGTTGTACAGCTGCTCCCGGAGCACGGTGAACTGTCGTTCGAGGTTCGCTGGAATTCATAACATACATGTTTTTTTTAAACTGAATAACAAACGAACATACCATCCACCTGATGGAAAGTGGGTACTGCAGTGCAGTCCATAAACACCTGCAGCCAAGCCTCGACACCCGCCCCACTGACGTACCAAGCTTAAGCAAGCAGGCCTTCGCCACATTAATAGATCCAATCAATATGGCGTTGTTTATATTTAGGATAATCATAAAAGACCATTTATTTAAACAATATTCCGATTTAAAAAAAAATACAAGTTCTTAGATAAAATTTTGCCTATATCACTTTTGGCATTGCTCTCTATCTTTTCGTCAAGTTCCATTGCAATCGGTGCAGCCATTCCGAAGATAACCCCGGACAGACGGACAGACAAAAATTTTACAAGTGGTTCATGTCTTAGTGACGTGCTAATAACGAGGTATTAGGAAAATAATAAAAATCAGCTCAATAAAAGGCATTTATTTTGATATTATAGACACTTAATTTTATTTATATATTTTTCTTTAACTGGTTCAGTGCGGGTGACACGCCAGGCGTGCCATCGATTACTTTTGTGTGTGGCGTATGACACGCGAGTCGTGTCTTTTTAAAAATCGTTATAACTCGCTCAAATTGCTTTTTTGGAAAATTTATCCAGAACAAATTATTTATTATTTTGCGAGTAGTTCATGCATGCAGCTTCGTTTCTGAATATTTTGAAAATTTGAAATGTTTAGGGTTTGACAAACTTTTTTTAACGTGTACATGGTACTATTTTTACTTTGTGGGTTTTAAATCATGTTATGGAAAAATTGTCTAATAAGTAACAAATAATAGCACTCATTGCGATCGCTCACAAACTCAAGTTGTAAATAAATTTCTGGAAAACAAGTGTCTTGTTAAAAAAAAACAATGCGTTTGTCTTATTGTTTAATTTTGCTTAAAATGGTTGAACTGCCGTCTTATTACTATTATATGGCAGAATAGACCTACGAAGTACCATGTGCTCTTGTGATATGGTATAAGGTTTATTTTTGCTTGAAACAGTTCGAAACCATTCATGCATAAAAAAAGTTCGCTAATAAATAGTCTTTTGTGAATCCGCCGCCGTATAGCGCCGGCGTTTTTTTCCTTTTGAAAACACTTGTTTTGCTATTTTTACTAATTAGACGTTTTCAGATCGACTTCACTTTTACATTTGTATAACATTAAATAATATTTAACATTTGTAAATATCAATGAATGATATACCTTAATTTTTTCCAAATTAAGGTTCTTAATTGTTTGATATTTACAAATGTTATTATTAGATGAAAATTTAATTTAATAAATTTTTTTTTTATTTTTTTTTTTTATTTATTTATTACAAGATCCACAGCCCTAATTACAATGTAAATGAACTTAAGAAATAAACTTACATAAAAACCAAGATTTTCAGGGTGATTTAGCTACTTATATAAATGATTTTTTATAACAACAAAAAATAGTACAAAAGGTTTGTAATCTCTTCATAAAAAGTCACTTTCTCTCAATTTCAAATAAAACGCGTAAAAAAACACGTAGTTACCCACTAAAAACAAGTATCCTTCCATTTGTAACTTATGTTTGATGTCAAATAAACTTAATTGGGTCTAAACAAGTAAAAAAAGTATAAAAAAGAACATTACTTTTACACATGGCGGATGGCACAATAGGCGTGTCATGAAATATTTGTTTGGCGAAATTGGTGCCGCAACGAATCGGTTAAAATTTACATTTAAATCTGTAGACCTTCTCAGTCTCTGAGACTGTATTCTCAGTCTCATCAGCCCGTAATTAATCACTACACACAAGTCTGTTTCAGAGTTGAGGGCGCATATATCATAATAGTCAAATTCGGCAGTTGTGGTTGCAGTATTAGACATCTTGCATTTGCCTGTTCTGAGAACTTTATATCTACGTATGAATACAAGAAGGTTATAAACCCCAAGCAAACCATTGCCAGAAAACAAGATACTGTAAGCTCATTCTGCATAGATCAGTCTAAAAATTAATATTTAAAAGCGGAGGGTAACAGGGGTAAACTATGATATTATGACCTCAAATAACTCAATCCCCAGTGACTGTGTCAGGATTAAATATGTTAAAATTAACTGCAATCAATATTGTAAAATTAGTTTCATATAATGTAATACACATTCGCGTAAATATAAGAAATACAAATTAATTTATAAAATCAGGTGTTACTTTGGGGAAATCCAGTATAATGAGGTTGTTATAACTTAATTTTGCTTCATTCCGCGTAAAGAAAGAAAATGATGTGTCCCGCCCAGTTTTAAGGAGACCTCCTACCCTGCATGCGCTAAGTAGCGGCCAGCCGCCGCAGTCTACTTCACCTGAGGATGCCTCGTGTAGAGGCGAAACACGTGTCGTATTTTCGAGTGGTGTGTCGTTCCTAGTGTGATGGTACTGAGGGTGGTAGTGTTGGGATTGGCGGTGACAGGTATAGTGCACGCAATTGAGGGAGAGTGGGAGTCCCTTAAAACTGAACAGGACAATGATGTTCTTTCTTTACATGGTATTAAGCAAATTAAGTTATAACAACATCATTAGAAATACAAGTACAAGATCTTCCAGGCATAACTCATACAAAATTGCTCCATAACACTCTCAGAATTAAAAGAAGGCCTGTGTGCATCCGGACTTTAATTACTTTACAACCGACACATGCACGAAAATAAATCTGACAAATCAATTTCTACTTATACAAAACTGTCATATAATTTTGAATTATGCTAACAAAACGAAAAGTATTTATTGTAAGCATAATACGCACAATAAAAACCTAAGTAGTAATCATATCATTCCCAAGGTTTGTTTTCTTAAGAAAAAATATAAACTTTATGATAGAGACCTTGTACATTTTGTGGAACTTTGTTGAAAGTATAACATATAAAGAAAGTAAAGTAAGAAAGTATAGGTATTTACTTATGAAATGGGCCTTTTGTATGAGAAAATTAAATTGTATTGAATTGCCATTTATAGGCTTGCTGTGTATCAAAATACTGCGTATAAAAGTCTACTTCATGAGAATCGAACTCTTTCGAAAATGAATGACTTTTTTCACTGCATCTTCATAATTGAAATTTTTACTCTACCTAGTCAGGTCATAAATTCTGTCACATGTTTAATATAAAATAATTGAAACAAGTTTATTCATTATGTAACCATTTATATACCAAAATGAACTTAACAAAACATAGATTCTTATGACACTAAAGTTTATTCAAAATGACCTCCGTGATTTTGAATACAGGTCTTCAATCTGTGCGGCCAGTCGTCTATAGCAGCACGAACGAGGTCCATGTCAATATCGGTGGCTGCCTTAATCAAGGATGTCTTGATTGACTCCAAATTGGGATGAGGCTTTGAGCACGCCTTTTCCTCCAAGTGTTGCCATATCTAGTAATCTAACGGATTCAAATCTGGACTGGAGGAGGGCCAGTCTTCGTGCCGGATGAGGTCGATTTCACGCGCCGCCAGCCAGTCTTGTGTGCTCTTCGCTCTATGAGCTGGCGCCGAATCTTGTTGGAATACCCAGTGCCTGTTATTGAAAATGGTATGAGAAACAGTTTCCACAAGGTTCGTCAGGACTGTATTTTGATACACAACTGCATTCGTTCTTACACCTTTCTCACAAAAATGTACCTCTATTAAGCCCCAATAAGAAACTCCCAACCATACCATGAGCGAGGATGGAAAATGACTTCGTTGGACACGCGGAATACGGTTGCTCGCTTCTTCACTACTGTGTGCGTATACCTTATCATTTTGTTTGTTGTAGCTCTCTTCTACGGTAAAAATTTTTTCAACCGAAAAAAGAATTTCCCGATATTTTTTTCCCGCGTACCGCTTCAACAAAGCGCGGCATCTCTTCAGTCTCAGGTCCATTAGACGAGCATTCAAACGATGTCCTGTTTTTCTTCGATATGCCCGAAGCCCTAAGTCTTCATTTAACACCCTTTTCACCGTGGTTCTGCTTAACCCCATCTGAAGTGCCAACAGTTTCTGCTTACGTTTGGGATTTCTTTGAATTCGCGCCTTCACAGCTTTTATCACTGCTAGAGTCCTAACAGACCGAGGGCGACCACTTCTTGACCTGTCATCTACACTAGTCTTCATTGTATCGTTTGAAGGTACGATAAACGAATCTTTTGGTTATATTCAAATGTTTCAGTATGTCAAAAATTTGAATTGGCGCGTAACCGCAACGATGCAACGCAATAACTGCAACACGGTCTTCTTTAAGCGTCCACTCCATATTTAAAAATGAGTAAAATTCTAAAAAGTATACAGTTTTATTTTCATGAACAATTCGAAATTCGAATTGAATAAACTTTTTTGTGGCCAGCATTCTAAAAGAAAAGTTTTTACTGTGTGACAATACTTATTATTATGACCTGACTAGGTATAATAGGGAGCATCAACTATATGTTCTTTTACGCACCTCATTATCCCGTCCTCCCCCCGTCACCATGAATTTAAATGAACTGCGATAACATCAGGAAAGTAACTTTTATAGAATTTATATCACTTATATATTTTTCAAACTAATGTTCTTATGTACAAGAATATGTGCAAGAAATAACTAAACTAGTTTAAGTTTAGCTGTTTCAACACTTGTGAGACTTCTAATCTTTTTCACTGTTTATATTACAAAAAAGGGCGACAACACTTTCTTGAAGAACTACAGACCGATTTCCCTTCTGAAGCGCGTCTACGTGCTGTTTTCAAGAGTCATTACGAATCGTCTCACATACAGACTCAACGACTTCCAGCCTCCCGAACAACCTTTTACACAACAACAACAACCAAATACCCTTTGGCAAATTGTACAGAAGACTGGACTGTGGACTATGAGAAACCCTTGATTCGTTTGAATTGAAAGACGTTTTGAAGCTACTGGACTGGATAGGATACGGTATTAACGGCAATGGCGAGTAGACCACTCGTTTTCGATTTGGCGACGACATAGTCCATATTGCAGAATCGCTGGGGGACCTAAGCACAGTGCTAAATGACTTCAATAGTGTTTCCTGACAGATAGGTCTTAAGATGAACATGGACTAAACAAAGGTCATGTGTAACATCCATCCATGTCATACCTATGCCGGTAGTTGTTGGAAGCACTATGACGAAGTTGTTGTTGTAGTCTGACTAAGTAAGTCCAACTTCGACCGAAAGGTCAATCAACGGATTCAACTTGGCTAGGCAGCGTTTGGGAAATTACGACACATCTTCTGGTCAGCCATACCTCAAAACTTTCTTTCATCATCCTTCACTGCTGGCTGTATGAGGAAATCAAGGCACTCAGGGAGCTATGGAGAGGGCTGTTTGGGGTTTATCTGCATGATAGGCTTTTAAATAAGGATATCCACAGTAGAACCAGAGTAACCAACATAGCCCAATGGAATAGTAAGCTGAAGTGGCAACAGGCTGGTCATATAACTTGTAAAACTGACAAACGATTTGGAAGAAAGGTTCTCGAGTGACAACCTCGTAAAAGTAAGTGAATGGTAAGGTGTTCCTCCACTTGTTGGAGTGACATGCACGAAGTCTCCTCCTGACCATGTAGAACAGACCCTGAAGGTGCCTCATGACTGTGCTTTGTGGTGTTCTTTTGAGGGAGGCCTATGTATAGCAGTGGACTTGTGAAGGACTCTAATGATGATGATAATGATATTGATGAATATTCTTTCTTTTTTTTTTTGGTTATTCATTGCTTCTGTGGTGTACTTTGTTTTTACAATTTTTCTTTGCTCTTTCTCTTTTTTTTAAGTACTGCATCCTTTGTTTTTCTTCGTATTCGGCTAATTTAATTGCATCACTTCTAATTCTGACCAATTATGCCTTTTCGACTTCTCTTTTCTTTTTTATCTTCCTTAGACAATTATTGTTTTGGCATGGTATTTTTGGGTTGAAATACTTATTTCAGGTAAGAGTGGAGATAAAAGTTATCTAAAACTAAATAAAAATCAGTACCCTCGAAACTCGTAAGGTCCCTGAACTCGTAAATTCACAGGACTGAAGCCAAAGTACTGATGAGAACTTAAATTTGTGTTTATAAATGGAGCTAATGTTTCTTGCGGTATGCCACTGATGTTAATAACATATCCTTTCTTGCAGTATCTTGAAGACTTCTTTCAATGCAGCGGTGAAGAGTTTCGGGGATATAGCGCCACCCTGTCTTACACTTTTCTGCAGTTAGTTAGGTTACGTACTCTGACTGTATACACAGATAGTAATCGTAGACCCACTGTACAAAAACTTCAGCACTTCTATATACCAACAGTCAACTTGGCTGTCGATATATTCATATAATATACTTCATTAAAATACATGCAAAAAATAACAACTGTTGAATCAAACCACTCAATTTTATACACCAGAATACACATTCAACTACTAGTTTAGTTTTAGTTTAGTTTACGACGGGCTGTTTTCCGCAACTCCACGTCTATGCGCGTATTTTGCGTGTGGGCAGGAATAATGTGATTATTCGAGCCATGAGATCTCTCCGAAGAAGCTCAACAGGCCCTTGATGTTGCATGCAACTTCGGGGAGTGATCCCGGCGTGCCGAGATGTTTAGCCCTGTATGTAGCGACCTCCGGACATTTCAGTAGCACGTGGGCCGCCGTTTCTTCCTCCCCCATACATGCCCTGCACAGGGGACTAACACTCAACTACTAAATAGACATATTAACAAAGACCAAAGCTATAGAAATAAACAAGAGAAAAGGTATAAGCTGTAATTTCAAAATGTTGAACTATACTAAATACTCAATATTAAACAGTTAATTAACAAAGTTAAAAAATCTGTTGAAATGACGCCAAGAACCATAATTGAAAGAATGTGTGGAGATATAACTAAAAACAAGGAATTAGTGACGAAGGTCCATATAATAGAAGAAAACTAAACTAAAATAAATACTCATGAAGAAGAAAAAGTTTAAACAAGCTATATCTGGAAATGTAAGAAAGAAAGAAAGAAAGAACTATTTATTTGATATACACATTTTACACACATTAAAAAAATATTATAAACAAAAGCAAGGGGGAAAAGAATGCATGTACCAGTCTAACACTGTTTACGCATTTTCAATTGAGAAGCAGTACATACACAATAATAAAACAAACAAACAAAAAGGTAAAACCGAAAAAAAAAATTTATATGAAAATGTGACATCAAATAGGTCTCCAACTCAGCATAATGCTGCAAATACAGCGCTGGTTTTCAGTTGGAGCCTTGTGACTTCACAGACAAGTCGGTGTGTGATGTTCCAACTAAGAGTTATATACGAGTTCATAGTAGTAGATATTTATTTCATGTAGTAGATAAATATATACAATCTATGGAGAGTTAAATGAATAGTTATTGTTAATAGTTAATATAAATAATTATTGTTAATAGTTACTTATTTATTAAAATATTTAAAGGATTTTGCCATTATTATGTTACATTATTATGCATGTCATTACTAGATTCTAAGAAATAAGCTCAAAATATTAATAAACTTGCAATATTTCTTTTGAAATTGTGTATTTAATCAGTACTATGTTACCCTCGTCAGTCCCCTGGCAGTCAAATTCACAAAAATCGAAATATCTCAAAATCTACTTAAAAAAGACACTGGCCCGATTTAGAACAATATATTCATTACATTATCTATCTTAAATACCCAAATTCCAACTTTTTATTACAATTAACATAAGAATTTACCTGCCAATAATTATTGGACTTTAAAGGAAACGACATTAATATGTAGGAAACTAGCCCCTGATATGCAGGTATATCCTAGGGGCTGTTGACTACTGTAAATTTTTATACATGTAATATGTTTGTCAATAAAGATTATTATAATTATTATATTAGCATTAGCATACATTAAAACAAAAAAAACCAGCGTAAAATAGCAGCTTAACGCTGCTGTGTTTCGTATGGTGAGTGTAGAGAACCGGAGACCCTTTTTACTGGCAAAGAGGCATTCCATCTTAGTCCTCACGGGTGACAACGCATGTGCATCTTGAGTCTTTATTGAGGATAGATGTAGATGTCTATGGGTCACAGTAACCACTTACCATCAGGTGGACTGTGTGCTCGTTTGTCACCCGATCCTATAAAAAAAAAAAAAAAAAAATTAAACATAAATAAACGAAGCCTAAGTAAATTTAAATTTAGGTATCAAAAACCATTGTCCATTCACAATTAATAAATAAAAATAAAAATAGCTACTACCCTTTTAAATTTTAAACAATAAACTAAAAATACACAGGTTCACCCCACGAAAGATCATCTTAGCAAAAGCACTCGCCTAATGTTCAACCTAAGGCTCAAATTCGTGTATACTGAAAAATGTTTGTAAACATAACCTCGAAATGTTATTGAAAAACCGTACCCAAGTTATCGAGGCACTCGTTACGACGTCGCTCACATTCACTTTCATCCATTTCCGAGGAGTCGTCAGAGTCCGGTTCATCAGCCTCTTCCGCGCTTGAGTCTCGGTCCGGGCCTCTAGAAGATCCTCCAGACCTTTCAGTTTCTCCACCGGACATATCTCCATCTCCATCACTATCACCCTCCACTTTCATTGAGGGCATATTAATAACAATGATGAATTCTATAAAATCACAACGCTATCCCGATTAGTCAACAAAGAGTAAGTCAATTTATAAAAACCGCTCAATCCGTAACAATTTTCAACACAAACAGAGGTAAAACGTCAAAGTCAAACTAGTCATACGTCAAAAGTGAACGTCACAAGCTGATTTTGTTATTGTTACGATTCGCCAATAAGGAAGGCATAGGTCATAGACCATACAGCTTCGTATGATTTATATTATGTTCACAAAACTCTTTACAATATACTGATGCGCCACGTTGCGAAGTTTTTGGGAGATCTTACGACAGCTTAACCCAGTAAATAGTTGATGACAATAATATAGGTCCTTAAGTGGATAAAAAACGTGAGATTTATATCACCATCGAGGCATTTGTTACATCATTCCCACTGATAGTTCACATGTACAAACATTTTATACACAAAATCACACCTTTTTTACATTTCAAAATCCACTTGCACAAAGTTCCCGCCAAAATTTCCGTCTCAAGCTAAGTTCTTATCTTTTTTCTATGGTAATGGACTCGTATGGTTGTATGGCCTGTGCTAAATAATAAGAAATTATCCTCTTATAATAATTTGTTTAAAAAATTCTTATTAAAAATATATGCGAATATGCTAAGTTGCAAGCAGACAGATGATAATAATAGTATCTCAACGCGCATAAGCAGACTCAAAAACTTGGGATTCACATAACCATTGGAGCACCTGTATCATCGTTTCCATTAATAGTTCACATGCGTAGACATCTAAAACCCTTTAAAAAATATTTAAGTAACTACACAAGAGAACTGTGGTAGCTCAGGGAGCGCTCACTGTAAATTTCACAGTACGTGAGCAATCCGGGTGCAATCCCAGTGCTGACTTACCACGTGCTCGGCGGAGAAGGAAAATATCGTAAGAAAACCTGCACATCTGAGAAGTAAAAAATATTTTGAAGACATGTGAACGCACTGGGGCAGCGCGGCTGACATTTCCTTGCCCTAAAACCCTCTCAGAAAAGAGAGGAGGCTTGTGCCCAGCTGTGGGACGTATATAGACTGTAACTTTAACTTTAACTACACAATTGTGACGTTCTAGCATAAGGCCGGTTTTAGAATCGCGCTAATCGTCAGCGCTGACGGGCTTATATGTATGGGTGCCTAAGAAACGTTTTAGACGAACGCCGACCGCTCAGCGCTGACGACCATCAGCGCCAAGCCATACGCGACCGTACGCGTCACGCTTCAGTGCCACTGAGCGCGCGGCGTCGACGCGCTACCGAGCTCAGTTATCGTTACTGTGTCACGAAAAACGCACGCGTCGAGCAACTTTAACACTCATGGGATTGGCCATGTCTGTACTTCGCAGCGGTCAGCATAACACTCAATTTTTTTTCTTTTTTTTTTTAAAACGTTACCTCCACACTAGGATTTTCTCCTGTATCGTGGAGGCAGTTTACAAACATATATTGCACAAGGACAAACATCCAGACCCGGAACAATTATTTGTAGGCCATACAAATACTTGTTCCGTGCGGGATTCAAACCCGTGGCCCCAAGCGTTGCAACTCATTGCTAAGCCACTACGCCACGGAGCCGTCTAAACACTAAAACTAGTGCCTACAGCTACGCACTAGCGAGCTACGCGCTGAGCTGTCAGCGCTGACGATTAGTGCGACAATCGGCCTAACATGTTTTTATTAAAGCTAGGTGCGTGTTTTATTAAAACTAATATTAGCAACTCTATTAAAAGTACTCCTGATGACCACTCTATAGGACCACAATATAGGAAATAAGTATATTCTCTGCGTACACCGCTATCGAATTTTTATTAGTCTAAAGATTTAAATCTAAATTAGCGCGATTGTCGATTGTTTTATCAAATTATATATAATTACCCGTATAAAATTAATACGTTTAATTATAATTATAATCAATACGTTTGAGCTATCGGTTATTTCTCTAGGGTTACTAGGGTACTTCTACTATCGTATTGTATTACATTTCTTTTCAATATACTTTTTAATGGTGAACCATAAAGTATTTATGCCAATATATTGTTTTCACAACTGTGTAGTCTTATACAGCGGATTTTCATCTTCTACAACTCTCTTCGTTGTGTTTTTCAATAATAATATTATATTTGATCTAAGTAAATTATTTAATTTCAACCAAAGAAACAAACTTTCTTTTGAGGGCTATTTAAGTGGCAGCTATAACCGTCTTACTCTGACTTGCGAACGCGTGCTTAAAACACTTGCGCACTCGTGCTTGAGCGAGCAAACGCGCGTGATAATGACTAAGCTTAATTGTTTAGGCAAAATATTAACTATTTGAAATTGTATTGTTAACGCACGCTAATAGCCTAGCATCGTATCGAGGTCACATCCCCCCCCCCCCCCCCCGCGCTGACATTCCATTCGAGCGGTGTCGACGGGACACGTCGAGGCAATTCATTATAAAAATCGGTCGATCGTAGCGGACGTTTTTGTTTTTTCTGTTAAATTTGCCGCGTCGCTGACGGAGGTGAACTTTGTCCCACTGTCGATGGACGCGCCACGTGTTGGTTCTTGACTGTGATCAACGGATTTAGTTCCTTTTTTGTGAAGCTAGTTGGATGTGAATAGACTGACCTAGTGCCTTAAAAAGGGAAATTGCCACCGGGGACGCCGCAGGAGAATACCGCCTCCAGCAGGGAAGCATCGTGCCATCTGGTTCAGGCCACCTACACACAGACACTTACACACCACTCACATGCACCACACCTTCAGCCTGACAGATCCAGGTCACCAGTCTCCGCTCCCGAAGCAGGTAAGTACCGTATTAGTTAAATACTCTCTATTCGGCTAGCCTTCCCTTTAAAGCTTAGTAGGATAGAACATTCCACCAGGCCATTCGGCCCGTCCTTAATTGTTCAACGAGCCTACAGCTCTGGGCGCCTGTGGGATAGTACTTTGTCGGGACAGTTAGGGGCGTGTACATTAATAGATATTCAATATTACTGAAGCGTGTAGCTAAAACGAAATGCTATTGATGCTGAATCGTGCTAACGATATCCAATAAATAATACGTTTGTTATGGATGAAGTAATGACCAGTTGACGAGAACTGTTTGGGATGTGACAGGAAATAAAACTTACATTTTAATCTGATATTAAATTTAATAGATCTATTATTTACAATGAATTGTTCTCTATTAACATATTATTTATAATATATTTATTATTCATTCAATTGTTAATTTTATTTACAGGACTATTTATAAATTAGGTAATATCAATACTGTGAAATCCCGACAAATCCGTGTTTGTATGACGACACGCATGAAATTGTGTTGCCATGCTCACTTTGCTTATATAATACAATAAGTATATTTATTGATTCCACACGATTCATGCGCTCGTCAAACACAAATACAGAAAATAATAGTTAACAATTTCAGCACCTTTACAAGCTACATTTGAATTTAAACTCATTTAAGTATATAATAACTTACATATTACAATAAAACGCTTTCACAATCAATTTTTAAAAAACACTATTATATATCCCAAAGTCAGCACGCACAACAAAGTGGTCACGAGCCAACAAACTACGTACAAGATAAAATTAAACATTTTAATTTATTAATTGTGATATTTTGAAAGAAATATAACTGTGTTCAATACACAATAAATTGTGGCCTTATGTATTTGGCACTAAAGTATTTGGAATGCACAATTCTATCTACTTAGTTATATAATAAGTGTTGAAACTATTTATCAAATATTTTAATCATGGACATTTTAAAAGGTTTGTTTATAAACATTTTTAAAACCACTATTATAATATAGTTTTGCAACATGTAATCGATGCTAATAAATTCAGTGTCGATAAAAACTACGACGATTAGGAAAATCTTTCAAACAAAATAGAAACCCTTATAAATATTATCAAATTTGATAACAAATGGACTTTTTAATATAATATAGAAAAAACGAGTTTAAAATTTAACAAAATTGATACAAAAGTCAGTTTAATCGAGTTTTGTGACGAAATTGCACAATTTAAAATATTAAAAGTTTGCATTAAATAACATTTTTGTCATATAATAATATCCATTTCTTCATATTTTAATTTATTTTATAGGGTAGCTATGTCATTTAACATAATATCGGCGTAAAATGTTAGACAACATGCAAGTATACTGGAAGAAAATTGTTAAACGGTAAATACTTCGCTCCATATATTAATGGTATACATTCGACAAAAAGGAGTTTCAAATTGGCCATATTGAAATAGGTATCATATAAAACAGATATGTCATTGTAAAGTGATTACATGGTTATAAAAGATTGCTTCTCTACTCACTATGATAGCGTATTAGTTTTCAACAAATTTTATTTGAATGTATTTAAGTTTCTATGCTCGAAAGAGAAATTCTCCCACTGAGAAATTCACAAAAGGCTAACTACTCATGATTTTTTTTGAAAATTTCCTATTTTATTTCTACAGTACAAATTTTGACAATAAAGGATAATATTACGGTTAATAGTACTTTTTAATTATTTATTAGCAAACTATAAATTCATTTGTGTTATTGTTGACGTCGAAACAATTAATACAGGCACCCACACTTCAAACAAAGGAAACTTAAGAAAATACATTTCATAGATTTGGTGCTATCGTCTGTTTATCACAATGAAAAAATCAGGATTAAAAAAGTAAGGTCGAAGATTATATAGTTTTTGTCTGTACTTATTATCTTAACATGCAGTCAATGTTTTCATCAAATGTATAAAACATATTTTTGTTAAAAGGAGTTTAAAAAAATGTATACGTCATAGTTTGCGTGTGTGTGTTTTATGTTCAAAAAGGATTGAGTTACACAATAAATATGATATAAAAACGGATCTTTTGATATAGAAAATAAGATACTAAGCTTTCTTTCCAATAAATTTTATCAATGAATGACATAGAACTAAATTTAGAAATACTGTTTACGATTAAGGCAGTATGATTGTTAATTTCATGTAAACCAGCTATCTAATATTATAACCATAGACTAAGAATGTCTACCCCAAAAATCAGACCTCAGTGTTTTATTATTGCATCACGCTGTATTATATTCCCTGAAAGATCCCTTTTTTGTCTGAATGATTTAATGCCATTGTAGGCCTCAGTTCATACTAATAGCAATTTTGTAACGGGAGAGTTTACATGTAGTTTTTAATTACTCCTTGGAGTGTTAGGAGGGATTCGTTTTTTAAAGTAGTTAAAAAACATCGACGTTTATACTAAATCACAGGCATAAAGGAACTTTGTCATAGAATAAATACCCATAAAAATATCTAGATAAAGAAAAAGAAATAGAGTACAAAGAAAACTTAGTAGTAAGAATAATTTTCATGGTACATAATTTTCCTAAAAGCCTATGATTTTAGATACGTTATTTCTAGGGTTAAAGTGTTAAAACTAATTAGCTAAGATGCTTGTAAAAAAACTGATGTGTCATACGGTATGCTCTTAAAACTAGGTATGACTCATACCTAGTTTTAAGAGTACCTCCCGCCCTCCCTCAATTGAGTGAGATCTTCAAACTAGGTAAGACACATAATTTTATTTTATTAGGCGGATCTTAATTAATTAATTTTAACATCTTTAATATAATGGATTTCTGAACAGTAACGCCTGTTTCTATTAATTATTTCCAGGGTTACCAACTATTAAATATTTTCGTACAATTTGATATAATTTGATAGTACGATACAAAAATGCTATTAGTATGTATTGGAAATTTAACCGTTTTTAATTTGACTACCTCATCAATCACTAGTAAGACTCGTGCAATAACCTTTTCGATTCGCAATATTTACGATTAACCAAACTAGGGAATGTTGGGAACACATCACTAAATTCTATTTCATCAGCCAGTTCGTAGTTCGCATCACCGTCACTGTTCACTTCTCTATCGTTACGAACTCTGATACTCAGCAAACCAGTCTGCGTTTTCCTGCCATTTAAAAAGTAATCTAGCAAATGTAAAACCATTTGCTGTACGGTTTGAAAGAGCGTCGTCAGGATCGATATACCGAGTCGTATAATCGATTTATCGGTTCTGTAAACATCGATTTTGGCGTGTATATTGTCTATCACATTTCGATTTTTGCGTGTTACTATCGAATATCGATTTTTTAATCGTTTCGGCCTTTGCATTTTACATGCAAGGGGCATTTCTCGCTAGGTCTGTTTCAACCAATGCGCGGGGACCCATTGGGGCTCCCTTTCTAAACTGTTAATTTCGTTTAGAAGCTGTTGGTAGGCACGTTGTGTATCGTTGTTTATTATAATCATATCGAACAAGTGGCCCCATCGGAGTTCCATATCTCTAGCTGTCGCTATTATTTCTTTAAGTTCCTCCTCCTGTAAAGAAAACAATTTTGTTTATAAATCAAGATATTAGATATTGACAATGGGATCGTTGTATTATGATATCCACAAGGTGGCAACATAATCATGTCATTAACGCCTGACGTAAAATAACATTCCAACTTTCTATGGGGAGTTGCGTAGAAGGTACCAAACGTCTGGTAGCCAATTCGCCTGTTGAGAATGGAAATTGTGGCAAATGTGTACTACAGTTAACTTCAATGGGCTGAGAATAAAGAAAGAAAGAAAGAGGAAGTGGAAAAAAAGGACTACGAGTATTTTTAAGCTGCTATTTTAAACTTAAAAATACTTAAAAATTAGCAAAATTAATGGAGCACTTTTATCTATCGGCATATGTACGTTATAGAGCAAAGTTAAATTTTATCGACTCTCCCTCCCCCTCCCGGGTGAGCGCCCTAGATAGTGTTCCGAAGCGCGGTTTTTAGCATAGCAACGTGACATGAAAGAGTTTAGAAATAAATTGTATCTTTTTTTAGGACAGTCTCGTCTAGTCTTGTGATTATTGTTTTTATTATTCACTGTTAGGATTTATTTAAAGGTTATTAAGACCACTGCTCGAATTACTGGAAAGAGCAGAAACGGACCACACAATAAAACGGCTGTGTATTGCCACACCAAAGCGACGCTTAACACTTTATCATTAATAACGCTCAAAATGAGAAAGTTTTATGTATATTTTATAATACGGTGTTGTAATAACTACCTTCCATTAAAATTATGTATCGGTCTATACGTCTCTTGTTGGTTGTGCTCTCCTACTATTAAAAAAATATGGATCAAATAGTCCGCCACGTTATCCTCGAAGTATTTTATTTATTCCTGAAAAGTAGAGGCTTAAGACTATAAGCCATGATTGACAATATGATCATAATATGATTCACACCTGTTCTCGATAATAATTAATGTTAAAAAATTAAATTATTTTATAATTTAAATGTATTGTGTGATATGTTAATAGGCTTGGGTAAAAAATATCGAATTATTGATATTTTCCCATATCAATATTTCGATATATATATCGTCGATATTTTTAATCGCGATATATCGATATTTATATTAGAGAATCGAATTCGTATCAATTTCGATATATTTTAAAATGTTGTATTAATCGACAAAACATTAAGCAGCAAAAGCAGCTACAATAGCATTCATGTTCTGTTGTCGGTTTGTTTCGTCATCCAACTGTGTCAGTAATAAAATTTTGGGTCTTATCCTAATACATCATGCTAAACATGACGATATATCGTATATCGTCATGTTTATCGCTATATATATCAATACAGTTTAAAATATAGATATATTTCACTTGCCCATTCCTAATACGTATTTAATAACTTGAATTAGGAGTGGGCGATACAAATCGTATATAGATACAATATCTATATATCAGTACAATATTCAATATCTATATATCGGAAGACAAACTAACTATGTATTAGATATTACGATTTTACAATACCGTGTGGATATGAGTCATCGCAGAATATCTAATATCTTTTACGACTACTTTAAAACAAATAGGTGATACGCTTGCGCCTAATGTTATTAATATTAATCCTTATTAGTAGTAACATACGATTTATTACAGAACACATCATTTTCAATTTATTTCAGTCTCAGTGGTATTTTATTATTATTGTTACGAGCTTGGGGTTCAAGACAGTTAAAAACTGCCGATTGAATTACCAAAATTGCCACTTTAATTACGGAACGCTAATTACAACTTAAAAACACTCTAATAATAAAACACAATTGTACTACTGATCACTTTAGTTCGCAGTTATATCACTTCGAAGTATTCGCTTATATCGCCAATTCAATACTGCCCCGGTCGTGGTCTATACCGGCCTTATATAGGGCCTCAGATAGTTTCCAGAACCTTCTACTGCAGCGACATCTAGAATGTTCGAGTACATATCGGTCCCGAAATTTCTAGAAGGATCTTGACTCTCCTAGTTCTGCTACTCGACACTAGAGGACGCTAGTGGTAACTAGTGTTGCCATGTACAAGACCTTAATAATGGCGCGCAACATTATTTTGTTGTGTTGCACTGATAAAATAAAGTAAACGATAAAAAAATGTTCATATTTCGTGGCAAATTGCACGGAAACTACAAGTGATATCGCTTTTGTAAGTAAAAGAGGTTGATAGCAAATTTATCAAGGACCATTTCGCACCTACACACTTTTCATGTATTGTGTACGGTTTTCTTTAAAACTGGAAAAAAAAAAAACGCTGCGGGACACTTTTTGAGGGTGACGCTTACCCGGGAGGATCGGAAGAGTGAATAAAATTTAACTTCGCCCTATAACGTAGATATGCCGATAGATAAAAGTGCTCCATTAATTTTTCCAATTTTTTCATACATTGCTTCGAAACGACCCATTTATAAGCTATAATTTAGCTGCATCATGGCTTTCATATCATAACATCTGGCAATTCGAAATCTATACTTAGAATTAGAAAATGTCTTTCTAAAATGGAACAGGTCCATCCTTTAATATTCACAGAGAAGTTTTTGGACTGAGGATGAAAACAACATACAAGAAAATTTCTCATGGTCCATGAAAATAATCAAGCAGTGTCTAAGTTTATGGAAGTGGCGCTGTAGTTCGCGGGTCTGATTCCCGTTACCGTTACAGCCTATCAAAGTCCACTGCTGAGCATAGGCCTCCCCCCCATATATCGCCTTATAGGAGGTATTTGCCATAGTTGCCACGCTTGGTAGGCGGATTGGCAACCGCAGTTTTTTATTTTTTTTTAGTAGTAATTAGTAAGATTCTGCTGCCCTTCTGGTTGATTTACCTCTGTCGTCTCCTACGACACCCACGGGTAGAATTTGGGGTAATGTATATTCTTACACCGCCGCTACACGGTAGATTCCCATACAGGAAAATTATTTGCGTGGTTTCTGAAGAAAATTCTACTGTAACGTTTAAAAAAAAATCCAAAAATTTTAACACTAGCAACACAGTAATTTTTACCTTAAAAGCCTCGCCATTGCGTATCTTCTTCTGCCTCAGCTTCTCTAAGCTCGGCGGCGCCACGAACACCGTGTACGGCTTCAGGTCCGAGTTGCGCAGGATCCGCAACGATTGCGGATGTAAGTTCAATACGCAAATCTTGCCAGAGTTCACAACCTCGCGGATCGCTTCAAGGGATGTACCTGGAAGTTAAAATAATGAATATCATTAAATGCTTTTGCAGCGTTTGGTATGTATATGACTTTTTCTATAAACCCTTTTATGATTAGGGTAATTTTATAATTATATAAGTTGGCGTATGTACCTATTAATGAATCACCGTGTGGTAATAAATTATTAAGTGATGTGGTTTTTTTTCATTACGGACCTTTCCACCAAGCATTAATTATTCATTATTACATATTATAAACTATTAAGGTATAAGCTTTCTTAATCTGTTTATAAATGATAAAAAATAATAAGTTTTTTTATTTGTCCATACATTATAATATTAAGTAGATATTTAGAAGGTACTTTATAAAGCAATAGGTCCTAATATGTCTCCTTGCGGAAATCGAATAGCGGTACTGAAATAAATAAATTAATAATTACCATAATATGCCTTTTCGTATTCCCCATGCTCCACAAACTTCCTGTTAAGTATGTCAGCCTCAAACTGCGTGCGCGATATGAAGTGGTAGTCCTGACCGGGCACTTCGTGATCTTTTCGCGGTCGGGACGTGTCTAAAAGAAATATAAGTTAAATTAAAATTGAGAAATAGGTAAAACTCGGTACATTGAGGCACAGAATAAATTGAGGTAAGTAACGTTTTTTTATAAATACTTACGGGGAACAGCCGCAGCAAACCTCGAGCTGTCCTCCATCAATCGCTGCCTCAGTTCGTGTCGTCCGATGTTGGGCGGCCCGATTAGAACTATGGGACGTTTGTGTGACGCACGGGGATAGTACAGTGCTACTTCTTCGTACGTTAGGATCTCTTCCTGCTCGTAGTCTGTAAATTAAAAGAAAATAAGTGTTATAGCAAGTTAAATGATATAAGCATATAACATAACAATATTGTTTTATAGTTAAAAGTCACAAACAATTATTCGTCGAATGAGATGTCAGTAAAATTACAGACTAATCTTCTTGGTTTGAAGTGGGTTTTGGTAGTTCACAGGCTTCAGGGGCAACTTCATCAGGTGGACTGTAATATGTCACTTCAAATTTATATTTAAAAAATTACTCTTCAATCGCTTCATAGGATAAAGCAACATATAACTGCATGATACCAAACATAAACACCAAAAAAATATAATTTTGTGACAGCCAATCAATAAAATAAAACAAATTAGAATTTGTTTCGCTCGTGTACAGTTATAATAAAGGCACCTAATAGTTTTCATTAAGGTTACGGTTTAAAGTTCTGAAATTCTACTAAATACTGATTGTTTACCGGGATTTTTTGAACTTTTTTAATCTTGCAATGTGGGAATCAAGTTAACTCGAGTAACTCGAATCAAATCGATTTCAGTTCTCTTAACAACTCGAATCAACTCGCTGCACGATCTAAGTTACTTCTTCTACTTTCGCCGCACTCGTAGGCCACGAAACGCGTCACGTATCACGGGCGTGTATCTCACTCAATTCTAATCGAGTTGAGTGAGATAGTTATAGTATGCACGTTGCGATCTCGCCCGCATTTTTCAATTCAGAATAAAAATGGTGTCACAGTTATGGATTGCGCGGGCGGGTAGCTGGTACGGTAAATATGCCAGACACTTGTATCTTCATTTACGACATTTATAGGTTTTAGGCAAATACGAAATAAAGTGAAATAAAAACTTCAACTCACGTTGACAAAGTGCGCACATAAATAATGACCGCGTTTTCATAATCACATTAAACAAAGTCAAAGTCAGTGTTACATTGTCGAAAACAATGTTCGCGGTTTACAAAACAGTCATCTGAGGAAGTTACACGGTCGACAGAATTGAGCGTAACGTAGTGCGCAGTGTATTAGTAGCGTAGTGCCTGTCTTGTAGTATAAATTGAAGTCTTTGGTTACTACGCTTAGGCTCGGTCACGCTAAATGCACCGAGTCAAGTCAACTCAAGTTACGACTCTAGTCAGTAAGCTACTGTATAGCTCGAGAATGTAGAGTCAAAAAAATCCAATTCGTTACATCCCTATTCACTCCCTGATATAAGTAGTGAATTCGGCGCATTATTTTTTTAAACTAAATTTTCTCCTGTTTTTCTCCTGTAGTTTACAAACATAAATTGCACAAAGACAAACAACCAGACACAGGACACTTATTTGCAGGCGATACAACACATGTTCCGTACGGGTTACGAACCCGCGGGCCTTAGCGCTGCAACTCAATGCTAAGCCGTCAATTCTGAAGTAATAAGGAGAGAATTTAACTGTTCTTTTTTCAAAAAAGAAATGTCCCGCTGGGTTTTTTTCTGGTTATTCCCTGGACATCTGTATTTTCAAAACCAGAGGTAAATTAAACAAGAGTGACTTTCAATTAGTATTTCTTACAACAAATATTAAATAAAATGTTTCTATTTCTATTTCTAACTCACCATCCGCTCCTGAGGTAGAATATAACGGGTAGCCGGCCTCACTCGTTGCCTTTTTGCCCTTCTTTTTCCTTGGAGGCTTTTTCGCGCATAGCAACGTACCGCCTTTGCGTGGTTTGTCCCGGGCGGCAACCTCGCCTGCTAGCGTGAGTTTCATCGATTCCCGTCTGATGAGAGAATTGATTGATTCAGCAATAGCATTGAAGTAAGTAATCTTCTAATCAAATCTAATGTTAAATTATATTTAATCATAGATAGCGTCATCCAAAAAGTTGAACTAAATTGTTCTTTAATTGTATGTATTGACGTGAACGCGAAACCCTAAGTTTAAAAATGTCTTAAAATAAAATAGCCTTTCGTTTTACTTGCAATATTCGTCAAAATTCCTACATACAATAATATAACAATAATATTTGTTTAGTGGAATGACCGATCTTACTTTAACGGTTTTACAAACTTAATAAATATTATTTAACTCACTGGTGTTGGAAAGCTTGACTAGGAATCAGTCCCGCTAACGTCTGGTCCTCTTCGCCTTCACGGAACGCCTGCCACCAGTTCGGGTCGTCTCGACTTATCACGTGCAGCACGTCGCCCTTTTGAAAACTAATACCTGGAAGGATTGAATGTTGAATGAAAAAAATATTGAATGTTGAATGAAAAAATATTGAATGTCTCAACGAATTTCTTAGGGTTGTTATTCTTTCGATGTTTTTTTTTTTAATATACAATTTAAAGTCTTTTAGTTATAACCCATATGTAGGTAATTTCCAAATCCATACAAGTCAATGAGATAAATGTACTAGGAAGAATAAAATAGCAGCTTAACGCTGCTGTGTTTCGTATGGTGAGTGTAGAGAACCGGAGACCCTTTTTACTGGCAAAGAGGCATTCCATCTTAGTCCTCACGAGTGACAACGCATCTGCATCTTGAGTCTTTATTGAGGATAGATGTAGATGTCTATGGGTCACAGTAACCACTTACTATCAGGTGGACTGTGTGCTCATTTGTCACCCGATCCTATAAAAAAAATAGATTAAATATAGTTTCTAAATATATTTTTATCTTCATAGGCATTATTCCATATTTGGAATAGAAATGTGTACAATGCAATTCAAATAAGAATAGGAACGTCAAAGACCTCGAATGACCACGATCTGTCTGCGAATTGTCACTTGAGAAGTACGACTTGCAAACAAAATAAATTTTCCACTTTTATTTTTATTTGACTGAGTCTTAGTATTACTTAATCTATTGAAGACACAATTAGTTTTAACACAGAATAAATAATAATTGTTTATAATTAAATTTTAACATAGTACAAGAACAGAAGGATCACTCTCTGGTAGTAAACTTGCGAGTTTAAATCTAGTTACAATGTCGCTAAGGTTCATAATACTTTGCACGCCTCGGACAGGACCTTCGTTAAATTACCCTAAAACATGTGACACGCGACGGCATTATTAATGAAAGAGTGGCATTGAGAAGTGCTGCTATTTTCAATCTCTTTCTTTAATCGACCAAGTGTTGAACAACAACCAGTATATGCTGATCTTGCATTAGTAGGCAGTCACTGGTACTAGGAGGTCTACTAACACTGAATAAGTTTAAGGTCATTGGCATTATACGCGAAAATATCGAAAATTGCGAAGCTGTTGTCGGATCGCTGATCAAATAATAAAACTGCAACTATGGTGGTATCAGTAACTAGGTACCTAGATCTACCTATAAAAAATTAAAAGTCGACATTCCTATTGTTATTAAAGCACCCGTATTTTATGCATACTTGAATAAAAACTCAAAAATAAATGTCAAAAGTGCCAAAAAACTTAAAAGAGAAAAACACCTTTTTTGTTAAGGCGTGTGACAACCTCACGGAATTAGACCTTTGTAAGAGGGCATGCAGCGTAAGTATATTTTCATTCGAAAGCGCGGAGTGAGACAGGCCTAGTTTTAAGTAATTAAAAGCTGTTTTTTTTTTCATTTTTATTGTTGGCAACATTTCGCCAAAAACCATGTTCTATTTTTTTAAAAAAAACTTATGGTGGAATATTTTAAATATCTACATAAATATATTTTCTATTTTTATATATTATTAATACTAGATCTAAGAAAATATTTGTTAATAACTATGGATATTTTTGAATGAAATGAAAGAAATATTATTATTATTATAGGGAAAAGTAGCAGTGATAATGATGATGACTACTTAGACAATGGTGTAGAGATGAGCGGCATTGAAACTGATTCTGATTAAAAATTTTTTTGTGATTATTTCTAAATTAATATTATTACGCAAATATTTGTGTTGCTTACCCTACCTAATTGGTTTGAATTGACAACTCAACTCAATGTTAAAATATGGTGTTAGGTTAGTGCTATTATTATTTGAATTGCATAGTATAGGTTAACTTTGAATAGAATTACTGCATATTAGTAATAGAAAGGTGTATAGGTCAATTTTGTATAGGATTATTGTATATTTGGAATAAAAATGTGTAAAAGCTAATTATGAATAAAAATTTTGTATGTTTCGAATAGTGTATTTTGTATTCTTTAAATAATAATATTGTATTTTTAACGAAGTGTTACAAGTAGAAATGTTTTTATATATATGTATATATAAATTTCGAATAGAAATATGGTTTTATTTAAATAGAAGTAGTCTTTTGCGTTTCTATAAGAAAAATATTAAGTTCTATTTCGAATAAAAATATGGTTAAATTGTAATAGAAATATAAAAAGTTGAATGTTAATATGTTGTTTGTATAGGTTGCAGTGGCGACTGACCGAGCTCGCGGCAGGGTATGTAGACGTCGTCCTCGGGGTCGTAGTCGAAGTGCGCGCGCACGTGCAGCACGCGGTGCGGCGGCGGGTGCGGCGGGCGAGCGGGCGCGCGCGGCGCCGCCAGCACCACGGTGAGCGTGCCGGCCAGCGCGCCCAGCACCTGGCACACCTCGTGCACCGACTTGCCGCGCATGCTCACGCCGTTCACCTCCAGCAGCTGCCCGCACGCACACACGCACGCCATCACACACATTAATATACATTACTATAGCCAACCACATTTTGTACATGGTAGAGCCATACTGCAGCTATATTAGTAGTATAGTTGTAGCACGAATGGCTTGGCTCGACCGGGGAAGGACCACGCTCTCACAGAATACCAGCGTAAAATAGCAGCTTAACGCTGCTTTGTTTTGTATGGTGAGTATAAAGAACCGAAGACCCTTTTTACTGGAAAAGAGGCATTCCATCTTATTCCTCACGGGTGACAACGCATCTACATTTTGATTCGCAAACAAAGTGTAACACGAAAATTTTCGTGTACATTATTTTAGCATATTTACGTTATTACATGCGATGAACAGACTTCAGAGCGCCATCTAACGTCATTAGTCCGAAGTAACTAGAAACGTATATTGACGAATCGAGCTAGCTAATTGCATGTAATTGACCTTTCGTGTTAGTTCGAAATCCTACCACGGATCGACGGTGGCGTGTAGCCCAAGGGAAGCCTAGTTCTTTTTGGAGCGAGCCGTTGTAATGATCGGACACGCACATATATAATTTTTGAATTGAAACGCCGGAACATGAATTTAAAGTGACGACTACTTGGGCGTACGGCCCCTTAAACACAATGTCTACGGGCAGCTTAATGTGTTGAAACACATCATCCCATAAATTGTAAGTACTTAATGTTTTTGTGTTCTTAAAAGCACATGTGCTCTAATTAACGGTACACGGCGTTTCATAGATTCTTTTTGCCTTGTCATAGGGGTCCTTAGTCCTTAGTCCTTAGTCCGTACTTTGAGTATGGTCTATTATCAAGTTCAACAATGTGAACGAGGCGAGGCAGCTTCAACGGGTGGCTATATTGGGACTGGGCGGCCAGGAGACCGCGACCGGCGTACACCTGGAGGATATCTGTTGCCTCACTGCTTCGCGGGATTGACCATAAACAGTGTAATATTGTGTAATCCACCAGGTTAGTCAAAACCTCAGTTCGTAGGGTATTTTAAAGTGAAAACTTGATATTTGGAGCTATATAAGTGAACCGTAGAAGGAAATAAACTACTTTTTGTCTGTATATGTAACTTAGCATTTTCATTTACTAATCATCCAACAACAGGCGCCCTGGGATACTTTTATTTTGATCCTCGAGTTCCTTAACTCTCCGACAACCGTAGCCGGTGAGTAACGCCCTAAAAAGTGTTATAAAGGATAGATGTAAATGTCTATAGGCCACAGCAACCACTTACATACAATCAGGTGAACTGTGTGCTCGTTTGTCACCCTATTCTAAAATAATAAAAAAAAAAACAAATTAACAAATACCTCTTGACGTTTCACATTTATCATTCCGCAATAACTTTATACAAGCGTACTCACACGATTTAAAATAATCTTTTTACATAAATCCCTATAATTATGAAGTAATATATATTTCATTACAACATATATAGTTATTTATTACTAATTTAAGTTCGAATTAAAAAAAAAGGAAAATATTAAAAATTAAACCAGAGTCAACTATTAACTGACGTTGTTTCAATGATATGTCGCTATGTACCTTACTGTAGTGTTTGGATAATTAAAATTCATTGTTATGCGAATAATCGCTAAAACTATTTAAACAATCGAATCTTTAATTTTTTTTATTTACTCATTCTTTGGCGAAAATATTTACTCTGTGCCACTATTTGACCACAGACTGTTATGAGTATTTAGAATGGCAACGAGACATTACATATTAATTCTCAGAGGTGCCAACGCATTTTGATTCTACCCGAGGTAGATTTAGACGTCATTGGGCCACAATATCCACTTACCAGCAATGGACTGATATTGAAATAAAATAGGTTATATAACATGTAATTCTTATTGAAAGCTATTTTTACTTTTACTACTAATTTAAAAATTAAAAAAAAAACTATCCTTGTGAGCACTAACAGATCAGATTGTTTCTCAAAGTAACACAATGCAATAAAAGCACAAGTGGTAACAAATAAGAAACAACTTGTCATTGCTGGGGTTTATCAACCCCTGTTATAATAACCCTCATACATAAATATTTCTACGCGCCTTTCTATTTCGCGCGTTTTTCTTAATAATAGAATCAGGCGTTACTTTGCGGAAATCTATTAAATTAATAATGTTAAAATTAATTAACTATGACTCTACGATGCACTACCGCAGTCTCTATTTTACCCGAGGATGTCTCGTTTAGAAGCGAAGCATAAGTCGGTATTATTAACGGTGGTGTCTTCCCTAGTGTAGTGGTGATAGGATTAGTGGTGACACAGACAGTGCACGCTATTGAGGGAAGGCGAGAAGTGCTCTTTAAAATAGGTAAGACACATCATTTTATTTTTTTACGCGGAGATCAATTAATTAACTTTAACATCTTAATTAACCATAGAAAGTTTCACAAATTTATCCATTAATATTTTTTAATAATTATAAATTGGATAATACGTTAAATTCTGTTACTGGCAAAGTTTTCAATTTAATCAAACCTGTAAACACGCAATTGGGTTATATTATTATAAATATAAATATCTGACGGCACCAGCACCATTGCACGTGTGGCGCCGTTGGTGTTGCAAGACAGACTTCTTATACATAACACGTGTTCCGCACACCTGCACCATTGCACTTGCGGTGGCGCCCGTTTTGCTTGTATAAAACGGACGGAGCGGCCGCCATTAAGACAGTCTTGGCTCTGACGTGGAACGGTGCACTTGTCGTATTCCGTTACTAGTTTATCCTCGACTCGTTGGATAATTAATTCGTGTAAACGAATTAATTATTATTCCTAACTACAAAATCAGTCTCTGTACTACTCAATTACCCTTCCTACATCAGATGTGGGATAAAGTCCCTGTTACTGCCCACCTGCTAACCTTTGAATAGTGTAAGGGTTATTACGTTGATGAAATACTATAATGCGCCTCGCGTTTTGTTTTTGTGTTCAATTTCTTAAATCAAGTTTGTTGTCGTATTTACGACATTGACGAATCATTAAAGTGTAGAGTAAAAGTTTAAAGTGAAATGTTTTAAGTCAAAAGATAAATCTTTTTATTCAATTTATAATGGCAAGTAATTTCATTATTTCTTAACGTACCCAAATATGATTACAAATGTCGAAAGAAATGTTGGAGATATTCTGAATGAGTTATAGTTTGCATTCAGTGGAAGTTTAACTTGTTCAAGTAATGTTATAATTTGATACACGAGGTGTATCACAATTTACATGGCCTAGTTTAAAAGTTCAAAATGTTTAAACGATGTACCGAAAAAAAGAACATGATTACTTTAACGTGCTATGACTTAAAAACACTAAGTAGTATTTTTGTGATCTAATGTGATAAGTGTTACAGTTTACTCCGAGCATTACGTAGTCGACAAACTTGGAATGGTTTAGTGGAAAGCGTGGAGCTGTAGCGCTCGCTTTTGAGTATGCTGTCAGCTTATGACGCCGCGAACTTATTATTTGTCGCTGCTACTGATCACCATTAGATACATGAGGAAAGTAAATTTATCCTAAATATTGGCTCTGAAACTATTTTGTAAGAATGAGTGTTTACATTTTTAATTGGTTGCGAAAAATGCCGGAAAACCGAAGTATAACTGATGAAAGTGAAGTAGAGCCAATTAGTTCTGACATTGAAGAGAGTATTTAAGTTTACATGAGGATCGGACCATACCAGAGGTTGTCGTGTAGCCGCAGCTCAGTATTTGGTGCCCTAGAAAGGCGAATGGTGTACCAAGAGTAGTGCTGCATTTCTTGAAATCAACTTCCGACTGAGTATTTTTAATGTTTTCTTTTATGTGTTACAGTAGCACGTGTGATGTGATTACAAGTGCGTGAGTGTGTGCCTTGCTGGTCGTAACGGACTGCCAGGTCCAGCTGTAACATGGCCTGGTTTCGGCAGATGCGTATGCGCGTATACGCAGGCGCCATCCCGGAGCGCGCGTATGCTGTACATGGCGATGCCTCGGAAGTCGTGTACTCTGTATGCGTGGGGGTCACACTGTGTGCGCGGAAGTCGTATGCTGTGTGCACGGTAATGTTTTCTGAACTTGTATTAGGCGCTGTCCTGGTTCACGTTTTTAATGTGGTTCACGTAGTTAACGTGGGATCTCGCAAGTTCAAGTAAGAGTATGTGTCAGATACTTCGTATGAAGACCTATGTTTACTTGTGAAAGCGAAGTGCTTTATTATAGTCCACGATATGAGAACGTATTTCTGTTTTAGGGCCTCGTATGTGTGATAGATGAGAGAACAGGCAACTGTGTATGTTGTCCTTATAGTTAACAATTTGCTTTTCACGCAGATCATGATGACTACAACCCCGACGATTCCTGTGAACCCTCAGGTGCTCCTGCTGCTCTCGTTTTGTTGTAATTTGATAGTTCACGCGAAACATGATTATCATTTGCTATATTTTGAAGTTCAAAACTTTTAAGGGTTGTACTAAAATAAAGGATTAACTTTAACACGCTATGAATTGAAAATAATAAGTAACATTTTTGTGTTCTAATGTGTTGATCAGTGTTGCAGTTTGCTCCGAATACTGTGTGGTCGACAAGATTGGGGTTTGATGTGGAGAGATTCGTAGAAGTCTCTACAACAATGATCAATGAGGAAGATGTTGTGACAGCTAATCGAACATGGTCAGGTATGGTCGAGCGCTAGTAAGATTGAGCCTACACCGATACAGTCTGTAACTTATCGGCACATCTTACGGCAAGGCAATTCAAGCGGCCGCCGAACACATGGTCCTTTGGTGCTGTAAATGAATGTCTGAGGCTTGGTCGGCTTTCGTAGATTTTGCGCAGTTGCCTCCTTCCCTTTGAAATGTGTGATGGTATCCGTCTCTACACATAGTTTCCGTTTTTTGCAATGTTTTGAAATGTCATACAGTTGCCGTTTCTTAAGAGAATATGTAATGAATTTTGGAAGCTCGGAATTCCATGGTTCGCAATACATTTATCTCGATTTCTTTTAATTTTGCATAGCAGTGCGACTATTCGCTAGCGCTAGTACGGCGCGACGGCTTGCTGGCGCGAATGTGGCACGAACGCGGCAGAACTAAAAGCTGTAGTGCGTTTGCCTGGAGGTAGCCATATCGGCGCGTTGCAGACTTAAATGAAGTCTGGGATGGTCAACCGTTGTAATATTTAACAAGAGTTAATATCTGTTAGCAGGTGGTGATAACTGATAGACCGTATGCTGTTCACTGTCAACCGCACGAGGACGCGCGACAGTAAGAGGTAGCCTTGTCTGTGCGTCTAGAATATAGAGACGTTGCAACACTCTAGCGAAGTAATTATTCTAGTGCAGAAAAGGAAGATGGAGTTGCAGGGAGGCTGGTCTGTGCTGCACTGGGATATGTGTCGAGTTGCTGTTGGTTTACATACTTAGGTGTTATCGTGTCACTATGTCCTTCACGATACACTTTTGTGTGATTGTGACGGGGACATGTTTGTGGTATGGTTGGTCTGTAACTGTTCTATACTGAATTGAAAAAAAGAGAGTAAGAAAAAAAATGTGGTGCTTACTATCATTGCAGGGCGTTTGCCGGTCCAATGATATAGCTACAGGGAATAGTGATTCCGGACTAGCATAAATAGTACTGAAAAAAAAGAGGTTAAGAAAAAAGAATAGTTCTTACAATCATTGCAGGGCTTTGTGCCGGTCCAGTGATATAGCTATAGGGAATAGTGATTCCGGACTAGCGAAAACAGTACTTGAAAAAAAAAAGAGAAAATAGAAAAAGGTACAGACTAATCATTCCGATCTAGCATAGAGTTGATTAAAGTTTGTAGGGCTTACTGCCGGAACAAAACTGATTGTCACCAAGTCTGAAGGGTCAATATAGACCGGACCAGACCCTGTTATGTCAGGATAGTCGAACGATGTTTTTTTGTCTACAGATAACTAAAATTGTGATGGAGCGCGTGCGAGGACGCACGCATGTCAGTATGGCCGTGACGGCACCAGCACCATTGCACGTGTGGCGCCGTTGGTGTTGCAAGACAGACTTCTTATAAATAACACGTGTTCCGCACACCTGCACCATTGCACCTGCGGTGGCGCCCGTTTTGCTTGTATAAAACGGACGGAACGGCCGCCATTAAGACAGTCTTGGCTCTGACGTGGAACGGTGCACTTGTCGTATTCCGTTACTAGTTTATCCTCGACTCGTTGGATAATTAATTCGTGTAAACGAATTAATTATTATTCCTAACTACAAAATCAGTCTCTGTACTACTCAATTACCCTTCCTACATATCCTTACCTCATCACCTTCATGCAGTAGGCCAGATTTTTCCGCCGCGCCGCCTCTAACTATCCTGCCGATTATCACCGCTTCTCCCTCATTTCTAACCGTAGCACCTGAAATTAATAAATATTATGACAATAACACAATCAATTAAATAAATATATAAAATTAATAAAACTATTTTTGAGAGTATAATTTACATTCCTTCGAGCTATATTATCCATTTCAAGATTAGTAATGTAATGTTTATTATCTTTTTTGTAATGCAAGAAAAAAACAGAAAATAGGTTTCTATGAAATGTGAAATATTTAGTCTAGATAAAATACAGAACAGGTAATTATATACAAAGTACCGAGGTGGGTGGTAGGTTTCTATGAAATGTAAAAAAATAGTCTAGACGCGTATAATACAACCAAATAGACATAATTTTAAATTCTGATAAAATGTCTAGTTCTCGAAAACTCTTCTAAAATTTACCATTCATATAAATAATACAATTTATATATTACACTCGTATTATTGAATTGATTGTGGTGGCTAAATGCAAAGCAGCAAGAGCAAAAGGCGATACATATTTTTTCCGCTCTCAACACAACGATTAATAAAATTATCAGGTCGTACTGACAACGAAATCGTTGTGACAAAATTACCGCCAATTTTAACCTACACAAGTAAATATAGCTACAACAAAGTCATTTACATGAAATCCGTTCACAACAATAACTTGTATTGACATTTAATAATAGTTAAACCCTCGAGCAATTTGATTTTGCATATATGTAAATACAATTACCAAATCATAGCGCCTAACACACTATTCGATTTCGGTATTATAGCACAGAATAAATAATAGTACAAGAAATTATAGCCTAGTATGTTTTATGCGAGCCACGATACGCCACACATACACAAATGCATGTGTGAACCATTGAGTACCAATGCTGCTGTGTTTCGTATGGTGAGTGTAGAGAACCGGATACTCTTTTTAGTGGAAACAAAGTATTTTATCTTGATCCTTAGGAGTGACAACGTATCTGTTCCGCAAATTAAATTGTAAAAGACGATAAATGTAGATGTCTATGGGCCACTATATCCTATAAAAAAAAAATATTCTATAAAAAAAAACATTCAGATGAGTATATCCATCCATACTTTACACAGCGTGCTGTGTGTTTACACAAATCATGTACTTGTTATTTTATTGTTTGTTAAAATAAATAGAATCTAATATAGAAGAATTTTTTTTTAGATAACCTATACATTAACAATCAAAATTAATAATAAAGTAAATTAACAAGTATAAAAAGTATAATTATTCCGCAGAGCTTGACTTGCATGCCGTATATAAAATAGTATAACCTGGCTACACTGATTATCTATGCGGTATAGTTAGGGTGCAGGAATTTACGATATAACCCGTCTGTAGTATGTAGGACGACCACGCCGTAGCGTGACAGTTCATTTTGTATAAATATTATTTAGAATTTAATGGAAAATTAAAAAGCGAATGTAAGATTTACATAAACATGTTTATATACAAAAAAATGAGTAAAATATTAATTCATCAGCTTTGCAATCATCATCATCACTATTACAGCTCATTACAAGTCCACTGCTGATAATAGGCCTCCAACAATGAATGCCAAAAGTACGGTTGTTGTAGCTTTGGAATATAACCTTTTGAATGTTCCTACAAAGAAACTAAATAATGGAAAGTAGAGCAACGCCATTTTATTATTCATAAGTCATAATTTTAATTAATAGTAGGGCTGGTTCTTTTCTCGCTCAAAGGCTAAGTATAGCCATTCAGCGGGGAAACGCAACCAGCGTTCTTGGCACGTTACGATAAGTTACTAGTTTTTTTTTTAATTATAGTTTTTAATATTATATATATATATATATAATAAAATATTGTATATCATAACATGATATTCATTCTACTGTATATTTTGTATGTAATAAAAATTAATAATAGTCATATTTATGTGATTTATTCTTAATTTCCATTACTAAGACTGGTCATATACATCTAATATAAATTCTCCTACTAATATCGTAAAATAATTCTTAATGAAGATATTAGATACTAGCTGATACCCGCGACTACGTCAGCGTTGTTTGATATATCAAGAAAATACACACCACTGAAAACGTAGTGCTTATAAAAATCGTTGTTTCTTAAAACTTTAATAACTTTATATTAAATGAAGATATCGCAACAACTCTTTTTTAGATGCGGTCCAAGTGTCTAAGAAATAAAACTTAGAAAACCTAATTGAAATCTATCCAGTAGATTTCTGTGATGAGCGCACAACAGCAAGCTTTTATCATTTTATTAATATAAATAAGAAGATAATATAATTCGGGATACCTGTCCATGAATGAAAGAAGCACATGCATACCCTATTACACTACCTATTAACACCAACACCCACATGGTCGTAGAATTTACATCGTAATATCTGTGCATGCGAAATTAAATTACGTCACGTATAACTAGACTTGATAAAGGTAAAGTGTTTATCGTCCTCTAGACACTGATAACAATTTTAAATTGGGCGATGTTGATGGCGCTTGTTTTTGCAGGCTACTTAATAGCCATTATCTAGTAAAAAGAATGCAAAACATTAGGGTACAATCTTATTAACATGATAATGTAAGAAAGTCAAGTTACAGCCTATATATTGCCAGAGGGCAGGGCACGGCTTTATTAAATTATTTACAATATGTGACAAAAACCCTGTGGTTCCCGTTAAATACGTTATCAGGATCAGTATTCAAACCTATAGAAATAGCTTTTTTTTAAAAACTAGACCATATTTATTTTTAATAATTGTATACAACTTATATGTGGTTTTATTACCTCTGCATTGTCTGGGGAGTAAGAGGATTGTCAAAGACCCCGCTTTACTTAGCTTTAGCATCGGCTCGTGTCAGTAAGAGGTAATAAAATTACATAAAATTATTTTTTTTAATAAAATAAAAAATAAATATGGTCGAGTTTTAAAAAAAAAAGTTACTTCTATAGGTTTGAATACTGATCCTGATAACGTAATTAACGGGAACCACAGGGTTTTTGTTACATGTTGTATAATAGCGTTAGCGTTGGCAGCAAATTTCACAATAAGTGAATAACTCGGGTTCGGTTCCCGTCGGCATCAATGAAATTGTTAATTGCAATTTAATGTGCTGATTTACCACGTCGACCACGTGGTAATAATGTGTAATTCAAAGACGTGAAGTCCGCAACACGCATTTGGCCAGCGCAGTGGACACTTTCTTGCACTAAAATCATCCCAGTAAAGAGTGAAGGCCTATGCCGAGGAGAGGGTAGTATATAGGCTGTAGCTTGAATTTTTTACATTATCATGTTAATAATATTCTGCCCTATTGTTTTGCATTCTTATTACTAGATAATTTCAAGCCGTGTGGTGGCGGTATAGAAAAGTAGAGATTATGCTAGAAAAAGAGAAAATGCTTAAAAATTTTATGGCATCCAAAAGATGGTGGTATACTGTTACATCACGCTTATTCTAGATTTAAATTTAGAATACCGGCGATGGCCAGCAGCGTCAAATATGTTAGACGTATGGTACTGCCATATATACAGGGTTATTTTGCATTAACCGGCCAAGCAAAATACGTTCAGAATAAGTAATATAGGCAAATAGTGAAGAATTATTAATAAAAAAAAATCTCAAACATTCTATCCTATAAATCTTTTAAATTCAAAATGCGTGGTAATGCACTATTTTAACTGATTTTACTGCGCACGCACACATTCGTAAGGGTCGAACGGTAAACAAAATCGTTGTTGCCCATAAATCATATTTATTTTGGGATAATTTCAAATAAAAGTAGAAGCCTTATTAATTCGTATTTTCAAAAACTGCAATAACGGTATATCCTTATTTATATATTTGAACTTAAGTTTAAAATTTAGCTACTCCCTGAAAATTAATAATAAAAAAATATATACAATAGGTATATTAAAAAAAGTATATTATAGTCTAACAAACGCGTCGATTAAGGCAAATCGGAGGAGTTACAACGAAAGAGGTTGTCCAGCTGCGGAACTTTACAGGATGACAAAGAAGCAAGAGAAAAAGAAGAAGTACAAGCTTACCCAGTGGTTCGTTAGTCTTCTCGATCTTGATTATCTTAATCTGCTCGCTCCCGCTGTCCGGCGACGTAGATACCGCTTTGTCGTTCTCGCCTTTGTGATTCGCGTTTCCAGTCTGCAAAAGACATTTATAAATAAAGATAAACAAGTGCTAAAATTAAACATTTTGTAAAACCCACGTCAATATACATTTTTAAGGATAACTCAAAAACTACTCGTCAGACCTTAATCAAATTTATACGGAATTACATGAGAATCACCAGCTTTCATATAAAAAAATAATCGAAAACGGTTTACCGAGAAAAGAGTTATGAGGTAACACACACAAAGAAACATACAGTCGAATTGAGTACCTCCTCCTTTTTGAAGTCGGTTGAAAATAAATAATATTAATGTTTCAAAAAACTAAAACAACACGTATTAGTCATGGGCTGTGATAATCCTAATGAAAATAAAAGGTCATATTCATGACATTATTGTATTGTCATACATATAGGTTCCTAAAACTTCTTCAAAAAATCAAATTATTCAGACGTCTAGAAGTGGGTGAAAACTGAATTACGAAATTTCGTTACATTTATACATGGATACAAGAATAGAATAGAATATAACAATTAAGTTCCTTTTTAGTGAGTAAATGAGAATTACGACTTTGAACACAGGAGCAGGCTAGTGGTCGTGGGCTGCAAAGCACTCGAAACGTCTGAATTTCATTATAAAATTAAGCGGTATGAAATCTCTGAAATTGATTAATTCATACATCGTTAAGAATTACTTGGATTTTACATAACTTTTTTGCCAATTATCAGCTCATATCAGCAAATTTTAAGAGAGTTAGCTATGAAAGCATACTTCCTACTGGGCGGTTAGACTTTTTAGAACTAGGAGTTCGTCATACCACTCTCTTACCTATTTCTGCCGCCAAGCAGCACTGATGTGTTCAGTTCCGAAAAGAAAGACTAAAGACAACCATTTTAGTCCTCAGAGGTGACACGCGTCTGTCAGCTTTCTTTGTTTGAAGGCAGTTGCAAGTGTCCATGGGCTGTAGTATTCGATAACCATTAGGTGGACCATATGTTCTCCCCTCTATGAGGCACTCTATGAGGGAGGTCTATGTTCAGCAGCGATGAATGAATAGACCGTATGTTTGTTTGTCAAAAAAAAAAACTTAAAATTTCATATAAAAAATAAGAGTTGACCGTTGAGCACTAACCTTATATCTCTTCCCCCGAGAGAAGCAGGCGGGGTCTAATAACGCTGCGGCCTGGTCATGCGCCTGTATGAGGCTCTCCAGCTCCAATCCCCCGAGCAGTGACAGCAGTTCAGCGGCCAGCGCTGAACTTTCGCTACCCGACGACGCTAATGGTCCCAGTGTGTCTATGCACTGTAAAAAAAATTAAATTATTACACACTCAACGGGTGAAAAACGTTTCGAATTCTAATTCAAATTTAAATTTTATCAAGCAATACGGACGAAGTCGCGGGTATCGGCTAGTCATATAATAAAATGCAATAGTTAGAAATTCGACAATCGCTGTTGTTCATTACTGTTGCGTATGCCAAACAGCGGAACCCTAAACGCAGCCGACTGTATTGTTGTGTGCCCTCCAGCGCTGGCCATTGTTCCTATTGGTCGCTTTTATATTCAAGACAAAGGTCTGGTCACTGAATATGTCAGCTCTGACGTTAGGGCACATCCACAAATTGCTTTGTGGTAACGTTTTCACATTGAATGTGATCCAGTCTATTGAATTGTAGCATGAAAGTCGTAATTATCCTGTAGCTATAAATGATTTAATATAATACGATAGATGTTGTTTACTAAAGTATGATTTATATTAAAATGTATGAAATAAAAATTTAAAACGTTGTTTTTTTATAGTATAGGGTGACAAACGAGCACACAGTACACCAGACGGTAAGTGGTTGCTGTGGCCCATAGACATCTATATTTATCCTCGTTTGCGAATCAAATGCAGATGCGTTGCCACCCGTGAGAACCCGTGGAAAGCCTCGTTTCCAGTAAAAATGGTCTCCGATTCTCTACACTCACCATACGAAACACAGCAGTGTTAAGCTGCTATTTGACGCTGGTATTCTGTGAAAGCGTGGTCCTTGCCCGGTCGTGCCGACCCATTCGTGCTACAACTATACTACTAATATAGCTGCAGCATGGCTCTACCACGTATAAAAACAATTAGTTATTAGTTATGTGCTATATATTATTATTACCCCAATTGTTGTCTGTGAAAGCGTGATCCTTTCCTGACCGAGGAGACTCTTTAGTGATGAAGCAAACTAAGTAGCTCTACCATGAACAGTCACCGTGTCCACCCTTACACAGCCCCTATGTAAGATAAGTGGATTATCATCCATATCGTCGCGTGGGTGTCATATGAGACGACAGTGGGAAATTGACAGGAAATGGTTACCAGTATCTTCCTTAAAAAAATAAAAAATAAAAAATACTACGGTTGCTAACATGCCTTGTTAGCGTGGCAACTATAGCAAATGTCCACATCTATAATGCATTATTTGGGGGAGGGGGGGGGGGGATTAATGAATGAATGACAATGTAAAAGATGACGTAAATATTTTGCGGATTTTTTTTGTGATGGCTCATAATCGGAATTTTATAACACGCCACTACTTTTTACCTTACCGGTACAATAATATATTAATAAAAGATAAAAACATACTTTCCTTAAAAAAAAAAACATTACTGTCGCAGAAATAATCAATCGTTAGTACGAAATCGTACTAGCTGCAGGTTGAGGCCCTTCACCTACTTAAGTTGTTACTTTCTAAATATATCTTAGCTGATTTATGATTAACATTTGATAAAGAGATATGTCATCATTCTGTGGATAGTAAGGGATGCGTGGATTAGTGGCCTGCCTACCAGATTTTTTGCCGCCGATCCTATATTTGAATCTAGGTTATTTTTTTCGCTATTTGACAGCCGCAACTTTAGTCTTCTATTCAATTAAACTATTGCTTATATGGACATGATGTTTCTATAGTTCTCGTATCTTTGAATTTGACAGGCGCATTGCCTTTTCTGCCGACTTCCAAAAAGGAGACGGTGCTCAATTCGACTGTATGTTTTTTTTATATGTGTTACCTCATAACTTTTTACTGGGTTAACCGATTTCGATGATTCTTTTTTTATTTGAAAGCTGATACTTCTCGTGTGGTCCCATATGATCCATTCCATTCCATTGATCAAAGTCAGACCAGTAGTTATTGAGTTATTCTTAATAACTTATATTGAAGTCGGCTGTACAAAATTTTAAATTTTAAATTATTAGTCTCCTGTTCAATTAAAGTATTTCTGGTATAGACATGATGTTTCTATAGTTCTCGTGTTTTTGGCATTGCATCTGATCACTCTCTTGGTCTTATTTGTCAGAAAATTAACAATACATACGCACGCCTACGCTAATAAGGGAACAAAACCGGTTACAAAGTAAATTGACTAATTGTATTGGTCCTAATTTTCAAACCTCTTAACTCTGAAGTACATGTGAAACAAAATTAAGCTGACCATGTTTCTCCAAGGTAGTTTGAAGAATCTACAGAATTCACATGCCCTTAATATAGGTTTTATCACTCAGACATACATATCCCTTCCTCAACGAGCACACAGTAAGTAAAAAGTAAAAAAAAAAAAAACAGTTTTTTTATATAACTGAAGTGGCAAACGAGATAGTCTTACCACCTAGTGCACTGATTGAGAACAGCTCGAATGTGTCAACATTATCATCATTACAGCCCTTCACAAGTCCACTGCTGAACATAGGCCTCCCCCAAGGAATGCACAAAGCACGGTCCTGAGCCACCTGCATCCATCGACTTCCTGCATGTCTTACCAGATCGTCACTCCATCTAGCAGGGGGTCGCTCTACACTTCGCCTACCGGTATGAGGCTGTCACTCGATAACCTTTTTTCCACATCGGTTGTCGGTTCTTGGAGCTATATGGCTGGCGCATTACCACTTCAGCTTACTAATCCGTTGGGCTATGTCGGTTACTCTGGTTCTACTGCGCATATCCTCATTTCTAAGTTTATCACGCAGAGAATCCCCGAGCATAGCCCTCTCCATAGCTCGTTGAGCGACCTTGAACGTTCTCATATGGCCGGCAGTGAAGGACTACGACTCAGATCCATAAGTCGTCACTGGCAACACGCACTGATTGTACAATCTCGTTTTCAGATTTTGAGGTATACCTGACGAGATGTGTCGTAATTTCCCAAACCTCGCGGTCTAACCTCTCGGATTGACCTCTCGGTCAAAGTTGGACTTACCTAGTCGGACTATTTGTCCCAGGTAAACATACTCGTCAACAACTTCGAGCTTAGTGCTCCCAACAACTACCGGCATAGGTGTGACATGGACATTGAACATGATCTTTGTTTTGTCCATGTTCATCTTAAGACCTATCCGTTGGGAAACACTATACCGAGTTGAATTCGTCGATTGACCTCTCGGTCGAAGTTGGACTTACCTAGTCGGACTATTTGTCCCAGGTAAACATACTCGTCAACAACTTCGAGCTTAGTGCTCACAACAACTACCGGCATAGGTGTGACATGGACATTAAACATGATCTTTGTTTTCAACCTATCCGTCGTGAGACACTATTGAGGTCATTGAGCATAGTGCTTAGGTCCTCCAGCCACAAGGACTATATCGTCGGCAAATCGAAGGCGAGTGATCGAAGAAGAGTTACGGGGATATAACGTCACCCTGTCTTACACCGCTCTGCAGTTGGATAGGTTTCGTACTCTGGTTCTTTACTCGGATAGTCATCGTAGCCCTATTGTACAAACACTTCGGTGCTTCGACATACCGACAGTCAACTTGGGACCGCTGTAGGGACTGTAGCACCGCCCAAATTTCGACGGTATCAAAAGCTTTCTCATAATCCACCTAAGCAAGGCAAAGTGGCAGATTGTATTCTTCTGTCTTCTGTACAATTTGCCGAAGGGTGTGTATGCGCTCTATGGTACTAAAGCTTCTTCGAAAACCAGCTTGTTCGGGAGGCTGGAAGTCGTCGAGTCTGCGTGCGAGACGATTCGTAATGACTCTCGAAAACAGCATGCGGCTCAGAAGGGAAATCGGTCTATAGTTCTTCAAGAGACCGTGGTAGCCTTTCTTGAAGTACATGACCACTGCACTTCTACTCCATGCCTCTAGCGTAATGCCACCATGTACGACGGAATTAAAGAGCTTCTGAAGGACTTCAAGTAACGGTTTTCCACCCGCTTTCAGAAGCGCCGCTGTAATTCCATCCTCACCTGGGGCCTTGCCGTTTTTAAGACGCTGGAGAGCCATTATAATCTGACGTTAGGGATATCATCGAAATACTATTCCGATGATATCTCGACAGTGTTATATGAAGTAAATAATTGAAACGATAGTACAGACTAACTGCCTGCTGTACTGCAAAACTAAAAAGTCGCAACCAATCCTAGCACAAGTAATTTTAAACTTAATTGAATTGATTAACGATAAGATTTGTTGTACTTGTAACATTGTTATTATTGTTTCCTTTGAATATAAAGTTAAAGACATGATCCCCGAGCTATGAAGAAGCTTGTCAAAATAATACTCAATGGATAGATCGACAATATCAAATTTACAAAGGTAAATGTAGCGATTCGTTTGAAAATTCTACCGTAAGGTATCCAAGGGAAGGGAATTATCTTTCAAAGATTCTCTAAAAGGGCTCAGAAACAATGTTCAAAAGTCGTAATAAAGTAAAATACTTCGCTTTCTTGGTTATATATTATATTTCGACTTTATTTAGGTTAGTTTCTTTTGGAATATCTTTTGCGATGTAGATCCCATCAATCGTGATATTATTTTGAGGGTCGTTAAATTTTTTTTACCTCTGTGTCGTTTAGCGCATGGGTATCTTCAATATTTAAATCAGTTATTGAAATATTTTTTCCGTTGAGAAATTCTCATTAGCTGCCCGAAGTCAGGAAGTTGGCGGTGTCTCACCCCCGTCCTTCGGATAATACTAAAGCCGTTAGTCCAGGCCATGGCCATGTCGAGAGAATGAATGAAGAACGATTGACGAAAAAAGTGTATAAGGCGAGTGTGAATGAAAGTGTTGGAAGGGGTAGACCTAGGCGGACATTTCTAGACCAAATCAGGGACGTCTTGAAAAAAGGCCAGGTCAAGAGTACCCTAAACCGTAGAGCATGTATGAAGGGAATAATGAAAGTGGACGAAGCAAAACAAGTATGTAAGGATCGTAGCAAGTGGAAAGAAGTGGTATCTGCCTAACCCTACGGGAAAGAGGCGTGATTATATGTATGTATGTATGTTAGTCCTACATCTAATCTCTCTTCGGTCGTGTCGGTTTACCGTCCCACGGACTATGAGAGTGAGGGAATAGAGAGTGCACCTGTGCTTGCGCATACACCTGAGCACTATAGCCCTGTCCTACGCCGATGGCTCGTCTCCGTTGAGGCTAACCGCTGTTACCGAAATTCGGCCTACAGGACATTCAATATTTATTTATTCATTCTTTATTGTTACACCTTTTAACTGAGGTGACAATACACGAATATATTCGGCATTTTCTGCCAATCATCCTTGACATCTCACAGTCAAGTATTGAAATAATTTATCTGCAGCAGTTTTACATCCGAATAAAATGTTAGTGTCTAACCAGAGATGAGTAAATAACTAATATAAAGCCATACTGCAATTCACCACCCAATATTGAATCACAACTTACCATCCGGTGAGATCGTAAGCATTACCGTAATATTTATAAATTAATTACTAGATAAGTATTGTTACCGAGTTATCAAATATGAAATTGAATTGAGCCAGTTGCATTGCCACAAAGGCGAGAAATGATAGAGCCATGCTGCAGCTATATTAGTAGTATAGTTGTAGCACGAATGGCTCGGCTCGACCGGGGAAGGACCACGCTCTCACAGAATACCAGTGTAAAATAGCAGCTTAACACTGCTGTGTTTCGTATGGTGAGTGTAGAGAACCGGAGACCCTTTTTACTGGAAACGAGGCATTCTATCTTAGTCCTCACGGGTGGCAACGCATCAGGTGGACTGTGTGCTCGTTTGTCACCCTATACTATAAAAAAAAAGTTAATGTACCTGCGACTGCAGATCTCCGAGAATCCAAGATCAAGAAGAGACGAAGTGTAGGCAGACAAATGATCCGATGACATACCCATAACGGTACATAATTTTTTAAAAGCATGTAATAATTTTAAAAAGGATAGACGACAGGAATAGCGATGCTAAACATCATCAAGTGTTTATACACCCAAATAAAAAACCAATAATTTAGTATACATTTAATTCACTTGCAATAAAATTGATACTGTTATTTTTTCCGGTAAACACAAACTGGCTAGAAAGAAAACATAATTTTTTAGTTCTACTTCAAGCTTTTAAATTTTTAAGTTGTTGTGTAACAAGAAGATCACTTGGGAATGTAGCAAATAAGAACACGCTGTATAATGTATCCCAGTGTACACGAGTAGTTTAAGAGGCTCGTTCATTTTGCCAAGAGTTAAGACTACAAAAATGTGAAAAGAAAGCAATTATGAGTTGCTACTGTTTTAAGCGAACATCTTTTACGACGGTACTTTATTTGTTTTATATCATTGTTTATGGTTAGATACGAGTAATCGTATAGAAGTTTGTTTTAGATTTATTTTAGAAATTCGATTAAAATTCTCCTTCTTCTTCATTATCATTCATCATAGACAATCAAAAGTCCACTGCTAAACAAAGGCCTTCCCATAGATTGCCTCATAGTCGTGTAGTGGTGGCGTGAGAGAAAATTTGCATCAATCAGTGGGAATCGTAAGAGACGACAGAGAGATTTGATACAGGAGACGCAAAGCATCTCACTGATAATAACTCAAAATTAATAAAAAAAACTACCAAGCATGCCAAATACCCCCCATTTGTCATAGTTGCCAAGCTTGGCAGGCGGGTTGACAACAACAGTTTATTTTTATTTTTAGTTGTTATTAGGATGACGCTGACGCTAATAACGATAGATGTAAGAGACGGGCAGTGCACCTTTGAGAGCAGTCCCCGCGTCGTATAGTTGTCTAAGTACCCGTGCTAATATAAACATACCATCGGTAAATGCAAATGGGAAACAACCTAAAAAATTGGAGATTGATCCGTGTCTTTAACACTATTTAAAAATAAGTTAAATGTTTTTGTGAAACATTGACGAACCTTACAATATTATTTAAAACTAGCTGTGCCCTGCGGTTTCACCCGCGTCATCACGTGTGCGAGGTGCGCGACATGACATGACACCTAGTTAAAGCATTTTATAATTGCAATAAAATATTTTATTTAATAGCAATGTATGGAAAAGTTGGCAGAAAGTTAAGTTTTATCCACTTTCCCTCCCCCTCCCGGTTTAGCGTCCCCCCGCTCTCCCTCACGTCACAGAAAGTGTCCCGAAACGCGTTTTTTTCCAGTTTTAAAGAAAACCGTACACGATACATGAAAAGTGTGTAGGCATGAAATGATTCTTGATAAATTTGCTATCAAACTCTTATACTTATTAATCAATTAAATTTTCAAAATACCATAGCAACGTGAAATGAAAGAGTTCAGAAATAAAGATGTAACTAATCATTGTAATAAAAGTACTCAATTTTGAATTCATTTTAGCTATAATGATTGAACTAACCTCGCTCATAGAAGCTTTCAATACTGGCTTCTCGCAGTTTATGCGTCGTTCGCGCGCCCAGCCAAGTATTGAATTATTTTAATTTAACATTATCTCTTAAACTATGCGTCCAAATAACATGGTATAAAGAGCAAAGTTTATCTTCATAAAATTGTCTTGATGATGAAGTAACTTTCGTTCGTAAGGATAAATAGGCCATGCCTAATAATAACGGTTATATATTACTTTTTAATTTTCAATATTTTTGTCACTAAATACCTAATTATGGCTTATGTATAAGAAATAGACTTTTTTTTAGACGCAGTAAAGATCTATATTTTTCTAGAACATTGTATTTACGTATCCCTAACCATAACACCAGCGTACGCGGATAAATCATTTCGGGAGCGCTTTTTCTTCTGACTTGCTTAACAAATATCTTAGACTTGCTTAATAAATATTTAAGGCTAGCTGACTAATTTAGCTTAATGCTATACTATTCCACATAAATCTGGCTATAATATACAAAAAGAATTTTTCAAATCGGGCTGGTAGTTCCAGAGATTAGCGTTTGTAGCAAACAAACTCTTTCGCTTTATTATATTAGTATAGATTATTGATGGTAAGTGGATGCTGTGGCCCACAGACATCTACGTCTATCCTCGATAAAGAATCGAAATTTAGTACTGAGGACTAACATGGAATGCCTTGTTTCTAGTAATAAAGGTTTTCGGCTCCCTAAACTCACCATACAAAACAGCTAGTATTCTGTGAGAGCCTAGTCCTTTCACGGTCGAGCAGACCCATTCGTACTTTACTTGGAGATTCCCCAAACTAACAGTGGACAATTTACAGCCTAAATATGGACATTCACATTCGCGACTAACGGACGCGGGCAAGGACATTCTTTGCCCTCGAAGGGGGACTTACTCTTTCTGGGTAATATCCTTTTACCTATGCCTACCGCTAAAAAGCGGTGCCTGTACTGTTGTGTTCCGGTTTGAAGTGTATACATGGCCAGAATAATTACAAAATGCGAGGCATCCCATCTTGATTCGTAGGTGATAACGTATATGTAGCCTCTTTGTCTGAAGTTGGTTGCAGGAATTCATTAGGTGGAATGTCATCTCTTCACTAAAATTTTATAAAAATCGGTGTGAAGCATTACGACAAATCCCCTCAAATAAAAAACGTATACAGAAAATTTACTAAAGTAGAAGTTCACTGGCAGAGTCGGCAAGGGATATGCCCTAGACGGAAACGAAATTTGGAGCACCCTTAACTAACAAGGATGTACGCATAGATATGGATGTAAAAGAAGCGAGACAAGCTTAGTTCGTCTACCCAGATCGGAGCAGTGCCGCAGACTCCTTCTTGCTTTAAAGCCTTCTTAGAAAAGCAGCAATGAAATTCAAATATACAGGCAGTTTTTGAAACGCACATAAACAGGAGAGAGGTGTGCCAGGACCGTGGCAAAGTGAAAACCGTAGTCGCTGCCTTCTCCTCTGTGTTGTTTTTTAGAATAAGAGTATCCTCCCGGTCGCGCCGATCCATTCATGCTTCAACCATAATACAGCTGCAGCGTGGTTGTACCACGTTGAATGACAGGCGTGAGAGTTTATGTATGTGTACTGGGAAGGACCACGCTCTCACAGAATACAAGCGTAAAATAGCAGGTTAATGCTGCTTTGATTCGTATATGCAGAGAACCGGAGACCCTTTTATTACTAGATGTGAAGCTTTCCATTTTAGTCTTCAGGGGTGACAACGCATCTGCATTTTGGTTCCCAATTAAATGTAGAGGTAGGTGTCTATGGGCCACGAGCATCCATTTACCATCTGGTGGACTGTGTGCTCGTTAGTCACACTTATTCTATAAAATAAAAAAAAATAAAAAAATAGGGGAGTGTCTGTGTGGTGGATGCGGCCGTGTGTTTACGCGATCAGCCACAGTTCTCACTCAACTAAACAATTTCTTTGATCCTTTAGCTACCTACGGATTAGTAAGCTGAAGTGGCAGTGGGCCGGCCATATAGCTCGAAGAACCGACAACCGATGGGGAAGAAAGGTTCTTGAGTGGCAGCCTCGTACCGGTAGGCGAAGTGTAGGGCGACCCCCCATGAGATGGAGTGACGACCTGGTAAGACATGCAGGAAGTCGATGGATGCAGGTGGATCAGGACCGTGCTTTGTGGCATTCCTTGTGGGAGGGCTATGTTCAGCAGTGGACTTGTGAAAGGTTGTAATGATGATGATAATGATGATTAGCTACCTAGTGGTGTAGTTAAATTTCTGATGTATGTAATAGATGTGTAGCCGAACTGTATCCCCCGATTTTGTTATCATCAGTTTTGTGAATTGCCTCCCACTGTGGAAGCATATTTAAAGAAGTATTCATGTCAAAAATGTAAGTATACTCACGTCTCTGAGCCTGTCGGCCGCACGGCTAACGGGCGGTGGTAGCGGGCGCACCCGCAGCACGGCGGCACGCGTACGCAGAGTCGCGCGCAGCGGCCCGCTCGTGCCCGCGAGCAGCGCAGCCGCTGCAGCCACCGCCCGCGCCGCCCCTCCCGCACCGCCGGACGTCAGTGCGGACTGCAGGCGGGCTAGAGCCGCTACGACGTCCTCATAGTCTGGAACAGAGACACTGATTAGTTTCTTCTTTTTTATCAGTGTTATATCCGTGTTCGAACCACGCCGGTACATGCGAAATCCGCTAACACGCACTGGATTAGTCGGACTCAATGCTCAATAACCCTCACAGAAATAAGAGGAGGCCCGGAGGCCTGTGCCTAGCAATGGAACGTTATAGGTTATAACTTTACTTTTTTTGGTCTTTGTTCAATGTGACGTAATTTTTTTAATAATCATTAATGACCATTTATTGTACCAAAATTTCGATATCACAAAAAACTTCACGTTTTTCAGATCTGATATGTGATTTTTTTTTATAGGATAAGGGTGACAAACGAGCACACAGTCCACCTGATGGTAAGTGGTTGCTGCGGCCCATAGACATCTACATCTATCCTCTATTACAAATCAAAATGTAGATGCGTTGTCACCCGTGAGGACAAAGATGGAATGCCTCATTTCTAGTAAAAAGGACCTCCGGCCACCTGCACTCACCAAGCGAAACGCAGAGGTAAACCTCTACTTCACGCTGGTTTCTGTGAGGTTGTGGTACCACCCCGGTTCAAGCCGGCCCATCCGTGCGACAGCAAAAGCTGCCGCGTGGCTCTGCCACTGTTCATAGATGCTCTCAATTTTTTTTTATATATAATTCTAAGCCAGTGCTTAACTACAATCCCACCTGATGGTAAGTGGTGATTTGTTCGTGAAATTTCATCATTATCTCTTCAGATATTCCGAAGATTAGCCCCGACACATAGATAGACACATTTTTTTTAAAATGTCTGGCATTATTCATGTCTGGCATGCAAATAACCTCCTATGCTCGATAAAAACGATGAAAAAAAGTAATTTCGATATTACAAACGATTTGTACTGCAGACTTGCCTTCAAACGAAACCTCATAGCAAGTTACTAGTAACGTAAATACGTAATGAGGTTACACAACGTCGCTTGCTGATAACGAATAGCGATAAAAGCTCTTTAATTATCTTATTATAATTGAAAAGTCGTTTTTAAGGACTCCGATATACCGTTCACATTTATACACGTCAATTAACAACGCTCACGAGTCGTATTCTCCAATTAAAACACTTAAAGTGGATGGAGAGTAGTGGACTGTATTTGGTATTTTAACTGGCGGTGTGAGGTTAGCTATACTAGGGGACTGCTCGAAGAAAAGATGGTACTTTTAATTATACTATATTCACTATTTACAAAGGGTTCGGTACATTAACTAATCACTATACAAAAGGGAGGTCTTCAGTATGGAGTCTTCTGTCTTGATTCTTCCTTGCCGCTTCCGAGTGAATGCTTCTGAATGATCCGAAGGAACCCGAAGGAACCCGAATGAACCCGAATGAACCCGAATGAACAACGACCGTCCGAGGCGCCCTTCTTATATTTCCGAGAAGAGCGCTTCATTTCGTCGGGTTAGCCGCCCGATGGCAATTTTCGCCGCACGCGCGCTGATTGGTTGCCCGATATCGCGTGATCAGCGCCGGCGTGCGGGGTGCGCGGTACGTAACGGGGAACGAAGGGGCGACGGGGCGGCGGGTCTCTCGCTGTCCGTAACATTCTCCCCCCGGCGTAGCCTTGCGAGCCTAGGCTGCACTCGGGAGGACGGCGATCCTCCTGACCGGCCGCCGCAGCAATCCGCCCCTGGTCCTCACTTCAACGTTCCGTACCACGCCGTCTGGTCCGGGAAAGGTCCTCGTTACAACTCCTCTTGGCCACACGTTCCGCGGCATGGTCCCGTCTGCCACCACGACGAGGTCTCCTTCTTGTACCGGGCGCTGCTGCACGTCCCTTGAGTCTCCGCGCGCAACCAGCGTCGGCAGGTATTCCTTCACCCAGCGCTTCCAGTACTCGTCGGCAAGTCCCTGCGCCGCTCTCCACGCCCGACGATCATTAGGCGTGCACGGCGCGGTCACTGGAAGGCTCGATGGTCCCAGCAGCAAGAAGTGGTTGGGTGTCAATGCCTCTTCTTCGTCGATGTCGACCGGTACGTGCGTCAACGGTCGAGAGTTAACGGTGTTTTCGGCTTCTGTGAGGAGCGTCGCTAATGTCTCCTCCCGTGGGCTCTTCTGATTGAGTGTGGCTTCGAGCGCGGTCTTCACCGAGCGCACGAGACGCTCCCATGCGCCTCCCTGGTTCGGCGCACCCGGCGCGATGAACTTCCAATCCGTCCGCCGAGTCAACGCGTAGTCCTTCAGCAGGGGTGCCCACTCTTCCATCGCCCGTCGTAATTCGGTGTCCGCCCCATGAAAGTTTGTCCCGTTATCCGAGTAGATGACCCGTGGCCACCCACGCCTAGCCGCCATGCGCCGCAATGCCGATATCGCCGAGTCCGTCGTTAGGGAATAAACTATCTCTAAATGTACCGCGCGCGTCGTCAAACAAGTGAATAACGCTATCCACCGTTTTTCATGCCTACGTCCTATTGTTACCGTTATAGGCCCGAAATAGTCGATTCCGGTGTAGGTGAATGGTCGCGCGAATGCCCCTAACCGTTCAGGTGGTAGATCTCCGATAACCGCTGGCCGAGGTGTCGCCTTGCGTACCCTGCACCGCAGACATCTCCGCTCCACTTCTCGTACGGTCGGTCGTAGTCGAAGTATGTGATATCTCGTGCGTAGGTCGTTCACTACCCGTTCCCTGTTGGCGTGGCTTGCTTCCTTATGCGCCTTTTCCACAAGCAGCTTTACAAACTGGTGGCGTCCGTTCAGGATGATGGGCCTCTTCATTTGGCTGTCCACATTGGCTGCGTCAATCCGTCCTCTAGCTCGCAGTACGCCATCTTAGAATATGGGGTCGAGCTTTCTTAACGCGCTGCCGGTTGCCAAGTTCCTTTCTTTCTGCAGTCGACTGATGTCTTCAGCAAAACTCTCTTGTTGACTTCGCTCTATCCACATCCGCTCTGCTTTATGGATGTGGTCCAATGTTAATCCGTGCGCCTTTCCTCTCATGGCATCGACGAACTGTAATATCCGAGCGGTGGCCCTGACCAATCTCTCGTAAGAAGAGAACCTCTCGATGTCTGGCAGGTGTGGAGCGCTCCTGGTGTCGCTCTGGTGCGCCACGACTTCCTCCAGCTCGTCATCTTCATCCCCTGCCTTCTCTTCCCGTCGTCGAGGCCATCGATCTTCCTCTTCGTACAGGAATGGCGGTCCCGTAAACCATTTGTCGCTCTCTTCCTTGTACGCATAATTAATGCGCGTTGCCTGATCCACGATGTTGTCTGCGGTCGGTATCCACCTCCATTGCTCGGGTGACGTCTTCTCCGATATTTCCCCTAATCTATGTGCTACGTATGGGGTGTAACGCGCCGTATCGTTTTGAATCCAATGGAGCGCCGTAGTGGAGTCTGTCCAATAAACTACCCTATCGGCTACCACTCTGTGCTCGCCTTGCACGAATTCCGCGAGTCGCGCGCCTATCAGATTCGCCTGCAATTCTAACCGTGGTATGCTTTGCGCCTTTATCGGGGCGACTTTCGCCTTGGCCGCCACTAATCGTACCTTAACCGTTCCGTCGCGGTATCGTAATCGCCAATACGCCGCGGATGCGTACGCACGTTCGCTTACGTCGCTGAACACGTGGAGCTGACGCTCTACCACTCCCCCCGTAGGAGCATAGCACCTAGGCAGCCGCAGTCGTGATACTTCCTCGACGACTCGCAGCCACCTCTGGAATTCCTCAGCTGCCTCCTCGGGTAGTTCGTCGTCCCATCCGACCTTCTTCATCCGCCACAGGTCTTGCAGCAGGATCTTGGCGGTGATGGTGAGGTAACTCAGCAGTCCAAGCGGGTCGAAGACCGACATGACTGCACTCAACGCCTCTCTCTTGGTCGGTGGCCTCTGCAGCGTCTTCACCTCGTTCGGTACCCGGTTCATGGATGTGTTGAACGTTAAGGCGTCTTCATTGGCTATCCATAATAGCCCTAGGGTTCTGCCTGGGCTGTCTTGTCTCAAGCCTACCTCCTTAGGCTTGCTCGCTAATAATTCCTCCGGCTTGTCTTCCAGTAGGGCTGCGTGGTTCGAATTCCAGCCCGCTAAGGTGAAGCCGGCCTGCTGGTGGACTTCCGTAACCTGCCTCGCAGTGTTTACCGCTTCCTCTACCGTAGCATAACTGTCTAGGTAGTCATCCATGTAGTGACTACGTACGATAGCGTTAAGTGCCAACGGATGTGTCTCAGCGTGTGCGCGCGCGTTATGATCCCTAACGCTATGTGCGAGAAACGGCGAGCTCCTCGCACCGAAAATCATTGAAGTCATAACGTATTCCCGCGGTGGGCTGGATCGCTCGTTACCTCGCCACAGAAATAATTGCGCGGGCTGGTCGCGACGGTCAATCTTAACGCGTGAAAACATTTCCCTAATGTCCGCTGACACGGCTATTTCGTTCTCCCTAAATCTGAACAGTATGCCCGGTAGGTTCCGTAACAAGTCGGGGCCGTCAAGCAAATAATCGTTCAAACATTTACCGGACGCACGCGCTGCCGCGTCGAAAACCACTCTCGTCTTCCCAGGCTTGTTCGGGTTTCGTACTGCGAAGTGGGGCAGGTACCAGCTCCTAGGGTCCTCTCTCTCCGTCCCCTCGGCTTCCCTTGCGTATCCCTTCGCCAGGAGGTTATCTATTTGCGCGGTATAGGCGTCTCGAAATTCCGGCGATTTGTCCATCTTCCTCTCGATCGTCCGCAGTCTTCTAGCAGCCATCTCGTAGCTAGGAGGCATCCGCACGTCGTCGTCCTTCCATGGCAGTCCCACCTGGTATTGATCGCCGACCTTCTTGACGGTGCGCTGGAATATCTCGACAGCGCGTTCCTCTTCCCGTCGCGGCCTATTCCTTAGCGAGATACCGATGGAATCGATCTCGTACTGCCGTTTGAGGAGTTCCGTTATCTCCTCGTCTTGACTCGCGAACGTTCGGATGTCCCTATCTATCCGTCCGCTACTGCTTACGACGTGTAACACGGTTTCACCGTCCTCCCTACACGTGA